AGCTCTCATTATAGTGCCACCATCTCCGACTCCAAAAAAGGCCGCAGTTTTCGCAATGGAACTTCCTTCTCCGTAAGAGCCAAGGCGATACAAAACTATCATTAACTGTACCTTCACAGGGAGTTGCAGATCGGATCGTTAGGAAGTAAAGACTTCCTCATATTGTATTAGGTTAACAATAAAATCAAAAGTTTGCCAGTTCATCCGCATAATCTGTTTGAAACGACCTTCGTCAACGTTCGGCAGAATTTCTCTGGTAAATTTGTTGTTTTTGGGTACAGAATGTGGCACATTTGAAACCCCATATCGAAACGCTTCAGCAGAGCATAAAGTGTAGTCGGGTTGGTGTCCCGACTATCTAATACCCGTAACTCAACTAAAGGGAGTGCGAGCGCTGTACTCGGGTTGGTGTCCCAACTAATAATCGTAACTCGGCTAAAGGGAGTGCGAGGGAGATAGATATATACATTTTGATTGCTTATAACTTTTAAATGAATGGTCCGATTTGAAAAATGTCTTCTACATTTCGATAGGTATAAATATACACAACAAAATTGAATTTATATTTCTCGGAAATCTTAAAAGATGTGGGCGCAGGACCCATTTTAAAATCGTTAGTGGGCGATTGTGGGCGTTAGAGGGGGCGTGGCGCTCGGCGCTGCGTAGGAAGCCAAAGAATAAGTGTGGGAAATATCAACCTTCTAGCTTTTTTAGTTTCCGAGATCTCAGCGTTCATACAGACGGACAGACGGAAAGACGGACAGACGGACATGGCTAGATCGACTCGGCTAGTGCCCCTGATCAGGAATATATATACTTTATGGGGTCGGAAACGCTTCCTTCTAGCTGTTACATACTTTTGCACGAATCTAATATACCCTTTTACTCTACGAGTAACGAGTATAATTATTAGGGAAATGTTAAATATGCATTTTAAAATCTTTTTACTAACTCTGACTTATCTATTTTCGAACCGTGGTCCTCTTGCATCAGGGGCAGACGCCTTACACACTGGGCCATCGCACCATTTTACGCGCGTGTGACAATTATAAAACGAATTCGATACTTGAGTAAAACATCGTCCTATCGCCGTCGCGATAGGCTCAGTTCGAACATCGAAAATCATTTTACGCCACAGTTATTAAATTGACACTCAAGATTTTTTTTGGGTGTGGTACTATTACATACATTTTTGTTTTTGAAGGAAACTATTTGACTGATTGGAAACAACAGCGAGGAATCAACAAGAGAATCAAAATTGTTTATTAAACTTTAAACCAAAGCTATTATTCCACAATTCCTTTGACCTTCAGGTAGTGCACTTTATTGGCCTTTCTATTGGGTTTTCCGTTGGCACTGCGCATTAGGTTATCCACGATAAGGACTCCTCCATTTAACAGCTTGTACTGGGAGTCGGTGCGTCCCTTCACATAATCCACTACATCTTGTGCCTTTATCTTACTGTCCCACTTCCTCACAACATTTGCGGCTGCTTTATCCCCATCGATCTGATCGTATACCCCGAAAACACAGACGTCAGAAACGCCTGACATTTCGGCAATAACAGCTTCGACCTCGCTGGGATAGTACAAAATGCTTCGGTATTTCAACATATCGTTCTTGCGATCCACGATGTACAAAAAGCCATCCTTATCCATGTACCCGAGGTCCGCAGTATGATACCATCCCTGACGATCCTGCATTTTAAGTGTAGCTTCTGGGTTTCCGCAATATCCAGACCAATGCTGATTACAATTTATCAATATCTCTCCTACCTCCTCGGGGCCTAAGGAGTCGCCCTTGTCATTGATTATCTTCAATTTGATACCATTTAGCAAGCGACCCACAGAGTTAGGCTTTTGATCAAAGTTAAAATTCGCTGTAACCACACTGCCCATCTCCATAAATCCATAGATAAAGTGGAGACAGTCCCGACTCAGACGACTTCGAATGCGATTCTCTACATCCACAGGTATACGAGATCCCCCGTAGAAATAGCATCGTAAGCTTGTCAAGTCGGCAGTCTCAAACTCCGGACAGTTGCCCATCATGGCCAAGGCGAAGGGAGCCTGTATGACCCAAGTGACCTTGTACTCCTTGATGATTTTTAATGCTAGGACTGGATCGAAAGCATTATCGGCCACTATGCGAGTAGTGGAGAAAACCCCAGAAGTAATGGTGGTCAATATTCCGCTTATCCAGTCGAGGTTGTTGCTGGTGTATTGCACATCAGCGGTGTTCAGATGGCTAATAGTTATGTATCTGATTAGTTGAAAAAACCAATATAGAACTCTACATTACTTACTACTGGTTGACCGAAATGATCTTCGTACTATTTGAGATTGTAAGTGCCTTTGGAGTCCCCGTGGTTCCCGAAGAGCAAATAATTACCAGATTCTGATCGTTACCGTGCTCCAGACGAGCCGGCTGAAAGTTATCCTCGATGGGAGTGGCCAAGACATCATCGATGCGTATGGAACCAATTGGATGCCTACGCATGGTTACAATCTTCACGTCCAGATTAACTGTGGCCTCACGAATTTTCTCGAAGTCATCTCCATCGCAGAATATAAGTCGCGGCTTGGTGATGTTGTACAGATTTGCGATTGTCTTCCGGTCGTACATTATATTGATTCCGTGGAATGCGATTCCGTTAAAAAAACAAGCGTATGCCACGGAGAAAATGTGGGTCGTGTTCCTGGCCATAATTCCAACGACATCGGATTGGCGTAGTCCCAGCGATCGCATATAGCTGGCCACGCGCATTGAGTTTTCGAGGAGTTCTTTTGTGGTCAGAACCGTTTTTTCCGTAACCGATATCTTAAAAAAAAAGTTTTAAGAGGAAGTCGGTCATATTCATACAGAGCCACTATCCTGGGCGATTTGCTTGGGATGTCTCCGCATCTCATTAAAGATGATTTACCCAATGGACAGATGAGGATAAAAATAGCTTTTCATCTCCTCGGGCACTGTTTGTGAATCGTCACTGTCAAGGAAGTAAGAAAAACAATTTTAAAAATTCCAAAACAATTCACAAAAACCTGATGAGTGTCCTAAACAATAAGGACACAAGGTGTCTTTGGATCAAAAATGCATTGTTGAAGAAAATATTTTTATTTAATTTTTAAACGCTGTTTACAAATGAAGATTTTTAAACTTTGCTGTGACTTTAAAATTTTGAATGCGCCCACCTCCTCTTGTGGTTGAGTTAGATTGAATTTTCCAAAACGACCCTATAAAACAGACATGTAACTATTTAATTCCGAAAAGATTTCCAAAATTGGTTGACCACTCTTGAAGAATTGAAAGACGAAGAAAATTTGTGATTTTCTTAAATTAAAGATACCGCAAATACTAGAGCTGATGGACTATAGGCGTAGTGGCAACTTATGCTTAGAAAAGCCTCATTTATCGAAATAAAATAGTGGCAGGCCTGGACACCGACCCATGTCACATTTTGTCGGCCTGTGTAATCATTGTACTTCAATTTCAGTACTATTACTTTGTTGTTCATTGCTTTGTAAATATGTACAAATCTAGTATCACTGCGGATTGCAGTCTACATAGTGACGAAGCGTACCAGAAGAGTGTATAGGAAAAAATGAAAATCTGCTGTGGAGTCCGATTCTACGCGATCCGATGATACACCAATCGAAAGGTATCGCAAAAACTTAAAGGATTGCATTCTTGTTTTATCTTCTTATCTTGAACTTATAATATACATTTTTGGCAGAAAGAGCACTTTAATTTGTTTAAATGACACAAAAATGTTCTTAGCCCATTAAGCACCCTTTGAAAAGTTGGAACATTTTGTGAAAGTCAAATTTTAAACTTTTTTCCTGGGGCTAAAAAAGAAAATGTTTTGATCCAAAGTTGTTTCCCAAGCAAAAATAAATAGTAACTGGAAAAAAAATTTTCAAAATCTCTTTCCTTGTATGTTTTATAATTTTTTGAAAATAGCTAAAAATTACAAGTTTAGCCGCTTTTTCCTCCTTTTCATACAAAATTTTACTGAGATCTTTTCATTGAAACTTAAAAACAACATTTTGAATAGGCCAATGTGAATAGGTATTTATTTTATCTGCAAGGGTATATAAGCTTCTGCTGGCCGAAGCTAGCTTCCTTTTTTGTTTTTTAAGGAATTGTCTTTTAGTTCGTTAGAATGTTTGGTAATACTCTATTATCCTCGATAGACCGCGATTTCTACAGAATTTACATGCAAAAAGAACTTGTCGGTCAACCATGGTTCTCTTGGAATTAAAATTAAAAAAAAAAGTTACGTGTTTTTAAGCTAATTTTTTCGAGACGGTTTATAAAAAGGGGAGTTTTAAATATAACCCGAAGTAAAAATAAAAATTGTAGTATGTTTTTGAGTGTTGTCTTAAATAAAGTTTTATTTTTAGCAAGCATTTGTGAGTTGGTTTATTTTATGAAAACGTCTAGCAATTTGCTAAGTTAACTTGAAAGAGGACTTGTTGTTTCCAGTCATAGAGTGATAGATCACTTTAAATTCATAGACTTGGTTTGCTTCACTTGAACTTGTTTTTTCAAGTTAAATTTCAAGTTAACTTATAAGTTCTCACTTAAAAGTCAACTTTTGCAGGGCTCTACTAGCAAAATACAGGGGATATGGAAACTGTCAAAAAAGACGTGTGTGACAATTTGAAAATTTTGTTGGAAATGATTTCTTTGACGACCCGAATAAAACCACACTATAAAGATTAATATTTATGGCTATAATTAGCCAATGCGAGTTCTAGTAATACCAAAATTAGGTAGTAATTTTAAAACCAAGTATAATAATTTAAATGTTGGAGTTTAAAATTAAACAAAAACAATATTTATCCAGTTATTTAATATGATTTTTTAATTGATATGAGAGGAATTTCAGGTGCCGTTATTTGCCCAACCTATCGATACACCTTTTCTAGGCAGAAGGCGTTATTTACATATCGATAAGCCCCTTCTTCGGTATTTAAATACTGCACATACTATACGAATACTACTAAATTCATTCATAATCAAAACAAAATGGAAAGAATAGGACTTTTAGGTCGGTTAATAGTCCAAAAAACCACTGCCAGGAGCTTTTTCCAGTTCGGCAAGGCGAAGGGGTATGGAGCAGGTCTTGGTCATGGGCTCATATCAAGAAATTGATTCAAATCGGTTGTACTTACAGAGATACCGGCAAATATGAACAGATCGTTTCTACCGGCCTGGTTTCCCCGGAACGGAGTGTTCCCGAGGACATCGCCAAGCCACCGTACTACTTCGAAAACATGCCCCCGGGCAACACCTTGGGAACACCAGAAATTAAGAGCCAAAGTCAGATAGATGCAATGCGTCTGAGCGGAAAACTCGCGGCCCGTGCTTTACGCGAATGCGGTAGGCTAGCAACAGTTGGCAGAAGCACCGATGACATTGACGCCTTTGCACACGGTAGAATAATTGAGGCCAAGGCATATCCCTCTCCCCTGAGATACGCCGGATTCCCCAAGTCCATCTGCACTTCGATCAACAACATAGCCTGCCACGGAATCCCAGATGACCGCCAGTTGGCCAACGGCGATATCATAAATATCGATGTCACAGTCTTCCTGAATGGCTACCATGGCGACTGTTCGGAAACCTTTCTCGTGGGCGAGGTGGACGAGCGGGGGAGCTTCCTTGTGGAGGCCACAAAGTCGTGTCTGGATCAGTGTATTTCGCTGTGTGGCCCTGGCGTGGAGTTCAACGAGATTGGCAAGTTCATACAGAGATTCGGAGACGAAAGAGGGCTCGAGTCGATTGCTGCCTTCATAGGACACGGAATCGGAAGCTATTTCCACGGTCCCCCGGAGATACTTCACTATTGTAAGCTGGCTGCAACCGGAATTTTGGAATTTTTGATTTCCCACTGTTAATACTGTTACTTCACAGACAATGAGTTCCCCGGAAAGATGCTGCCCGGCATGACCTTCACCATCGAACCCATTCTGTCCCTGGGCGGATCTGACATAGGAGTGCTGGAAGATGGCTGGACGGCGATTAGCTTGGACGGCGCACGTAGCGCCCAGTTTGAGCACACCATTTTGATCACCGAGACGGGAACGGAGATACTCACAAGAGACCCATAGGATCGCTTTATGTACATGATGAATTTTTATTCGTGATTCCCATAAAGTGTTGAATGAGTGTGCTGGATGGCAGTCTTGTGCAGTTTGTGCCGTTGTAAGCGTCGCCTCCGAAGGGTTAGGTGCTCTAATTGGTTGCAGAAGCGCTCAGCATCTAGCTACAAATGGCGTTTGACTTTTGCACCGGCTTCTGAATGGGGAGGAAGAGCTTGAACTCCGGCGGCAGCTCGTCCTCCGAGTAGAGGCGGTCGGAGAAGTAGACGCGTCTGATGCGGCAGTTCGCATGGATCTGTACACGGAGTGTCTCCACATAGTTCGTGCCGTAGGCGCGACGGGTGAAGTCGGACAAGTTGAACTGAATCTGGTTCCATCCCTCGTCCAATCGCATGGGCATGGTGCAAATAAACGGCTTGACACGAGTTGTCGACTGGTAGTTGCTGGCCCTGAACCTTCGCCGCACGTTTTTGTCATCCAGAACCTATGTTTAGGGGAGGAAATTATGGAATTACGGGCTTTTGGCGTGCTGGTCGAGCTTACCTGAACTTCGAAGGTGAAGTACTTCTTCATGTTCTTGATGATCATCACCAGGAAGGGCAGTTTGATGCCCAGCGTCTTCTTCGGATCTGCCGGGCACGTTATAAACGTGGTGCTGACGTTGGTGCCGACTATTTCGAGGACGAGGCTCTGTATGTCGTTGTCGGTGATCCGCTTGATATGCCCATTGCGCACCTTCTTGTCCCACAGCTGCAGCGGCTTCGAGCCAATACTGTACAGGATCGATAGGAATCCCGATTGGAAGGTGTTCTTGAACATCTCGCGACTGCAGTGCTGTAGCCGGTTTGCCCCTGCCCACAGATAGAATAGTCTCTCGAGAATTTGTATAGGGCCAGCTAAGGTTGGCCGATAATTTTTGCACCGGAACTCGTACAAACTACGAACATCAATACGGAACTATACTATTTTCTCATGTCAATAAATTTGTTTAGCATGGCATCCTGTTGTTGCCATAACAATGACGAAGGAATAGGGCTGGCAACTATCTAAATGTTTGGCAGCGCTTGTACGTTTATGCGAGGTTTGAAATTGCGAAAACGGATAGTTGGGGTTATTTGTGTTAGAGGGTTCTGGCCGTGAAATAGTATTGCTTTGGAACTGTGAAAATGAAACGATATAATTTAAGTGGGAGATATAATTTTGTATGGTTCGAACTAGATTGTTATTTATTACATTCTTCCCGATTTTAAACATATTTATGTCTATTACAATTTTATCATAATAAATTGGACAAAAATATGTAAACTCTTTCTAATAAATTTAAAGGAGTATATTAATTATTTATTTTGCCACTCTTATATATCATATAGTTACTTTTATTTTGCAACAGCGGCCTGTTCCGCTGTTTCGATTTCCTATAGTCAAAGGGGAACAGTGAAAATGTTAAGTTATCGATGTCCGATTATCGACCCCAGTCACATCACTAGTTGATGTGAGTATTAAAAAAATATACAGCTTACAGAGTACAAATGGCATCGACATCGAGGTAAAAACCAGGCTCCATGTAATTTCTGGCCTTTCTCTAATGCCGTCCCCTTGCAGACTGGACAACAACAAGGTGTGCTGCTACGCACACCCCGAATCTCCGCTGATCGAGGACTACAGGGCTGGCGACATGATTTGCTCCGAGTGTGGCCTGGTGGTTGGCGACCGCGTAATTGATGTGGGCTCCGAGTGGCGAACCTTCAGCAACGAGAAGAGCGGCGTGGACCCCAGCCGTGTGGGTGGCCCCGAGAATCCGCTGCTCAGCGGCGGCGACTTGTCCACCATAATTGGCCCGGGCACCGGGTCCGCCTCCTTCGACGCCTTCGGAGCCCCCAAGTACCAAAACAGACGTACCATGAGCAGCTCGGACCGCTCCCTTATATCGGCATTTAAGGAAATTTCGTCGATGGCCGATCGCATTAACTTGCCCAAGACCATCGTCGATCGGGCCAACAACTTGTTCAAACAGGTGAAGTCCGAAATGTTTTAAAATAATGGCCAAGATCTAATGAAGTTTGCTTCTAGGTCCATGACGGAAAGAACCTCAAGGGCCGCTCGAATGATGCCAAGGCATCTGCCTGTCTGTACATTGCTTGCCGTCAGGAGGGAGTTCCTCGCACATTCAAGGAAATCTGTGCCGTCAGCAAGATCAGCAAAAAAGAAATCGGCCGATGCTTTAAGCTGACTTTGAAGGCCCTTGAAACAAGTGTAGATTTAATTACCACAGCGGACTTTATGTGCCGCTTTTGCGCCAACTTGGGTAAGTGTTTCTGAGGTATTCCTCGCAGTTGAGAAACTAAAACATATTCTCTTTTATCTCAATCAGACCTGCCAAATATGGTTCAACGCGCTGCCACGCACATTGCAAAGAAAGCCGTCGAAATGGACATTGTCCCGGGCCGTTCGCCCATTTCGGTGGCCGCGGCCGCAATTTACATGGCCTCCCAGGCTTCAGAGCATAAGAGAAGTCAGAAGGAAATCGGTGATATAGCCGGAGTGGCCGATGTCACCATCCGGCAGTCCTACAAACTTATGTATCCTCACGCAGCTAAGCTCTTCCCCGAAGACTTTAAGTTTACCACTCCAATCGATCAGCTACCGCAAATGTAAATCTTTTGTACATCCGATGCTCAATACTAACGCTAACGTTAAGAGAAGGAGAATTCTTAATTTAATCACAAAGTTTACGATTTTATTAAATAAAGTTAGCATAACTAATATTCAAATAGAACTGTTGGACCAATCAGAACACAATTAAATCATTGTTTACACTTTAAAGTAGCTGAGTTAAACCCATACAGTTTTTGAACTTTATTCCAATGTTTCATAATAACTCGCTTGTTTTATTTTTACATTTTAAAGCTGGCTTGTATGTGTATCTTCGGTATAGGCGGTTATAAAGAAGCAAACAATAATCGCATACTACGTTTATTTGCCATTTTTGCGAAATTAAGTTAGAAACAATATACTCTGTTTATCCATAAGCTTTAAGTAATTAGTAATAGTATGAATGGTTAGAATATTCGCAAATAAGACGAAAGGGAAACCTGTAACTGTCAACACTTTCAATTGCAAATAAAGCGGGCGTTTAAACGTAGTAAGAGGCCAAGTCATTTGGGGAGCCAAGCATACCAGCAAAATACTCAAAAAAAAGCAAAATATGTGCTAATAGTACATGACGAATTATCAGTCGCCAACAATAAATATTGCTGAGTTTAAACAGTGTAAATTTAGATAACTAGTCAATAGAGAGCGAGCACTTCTCGTCGTCGCTGTGGCCCACGCACTCGAGCGCGGGACGATGCTCCGAGTCCCACATCCCGGGGCCGCACCGCTTGCACAGGCCGCTCAGGGTGCACGGGATCTTCGGCAGCTGGCGGTACTGGTGGAGCAGGCCGCGAGCCTTCCGCAGAATCAACTGCCCGTCCATGTACATGGCCAGCGAACTGAAGTGGAGCAGCATCTCGTCCGGCCGCAGATTCTGGGCCACCACATCGTCCGCGTAGACGGCGATGATGGCCAGGCAGAGGAACAGGTGAAAGTAGTCCGTCAGGTAGTTCGACCAGCAGGCCTCCCACATCCGGATGACCACCGCCTCGGTGAACTCGCGCTTGAAGCAGAGCAGCAGCCACCGGTGGCAGAAGAGCAGCTCCATGGAGTCGTTGTGCTGCTCCAGGTGCTCGTAGAACCGCGGCAGCATCACCCGGATCAGTTCCCGCAGGTAGCTCAGGTTGTGGTCCACGTCTCGGTCGGTAGGCGTGCACACGAAGAAGGCCCGCTGCATCAGACCCACGAAGCACCAGAAGGTCTCCGACTCGTTTTGCACTTCGCACAGAACAGGTGCTAAGAGATCACTCATACCCTGAAATATATCGCGATTTTATAGAATAATATTTGAATGTTCTAGTCTAGAATGGATTTTCAACTAAATATACCGGAAAAGGGTTAGAAATACTTTTTATACCCTTGCAGAGAGTATTATGATTTCAGTCAGAAGTTTGCAACGCAGTTAAGGAGACGTTATCTTATCTTATCTTATAGCTCCAATAGAAAGGATAAAAAAAACGTTAAACAAATTCTAGCTTCGGTGTTTTTTGAAATATTACCTTCTACTCTTGGGAATATTATTTTTAAATATTTATGAATTTCGAATAAAATTAAGAAAATATCGGATCACTATATCATATAGCTGATATAGGAACGGTCAGAAAATACAATGGAAATTAATTGGAAAAAAAGTATATTTTGTTGATTTTTATTACATTTCCTTGTTAACATTTCCTTCTTTAACATTTCAAAATTTCGAATAAAATTTAACAAAACTCGGACGTCTATATTATATAGCTCCCATAGGAAGGTTAAAAAAAGTAATGATCTGCAAGGGCCAGCCGAAGCTAGCTTCTTTTCTTGTTTTGAGGGTACTTAATTTGGAGAGGGTCGTTTTTGAGGGTTATAGAGAATATTTCCGATGAGACCTAAGCCTAAAGCCCACCTGTGAATAGGACATCCCAGTGTTGTATACAGCAAAGTTGAGCAGAATGTTCTTCATGACCTCGGTGTTGGGGTTATCGTCGCCGCAGAAGAAGGGATTGGTTCGATCCGTGCGCACCACGTCCTTCTCGACCACGTTCTGCACGGTCTTCCAGAAGTGAATTTGCTGTTCCGGGGACATGGAGTACAGACGCTTTCGGGTTATCTCCTCGTACTCCTGCCGCTTGATGTCCATGAGTACAGCTCGATCCTCGAATGTCGATGAGAAGGAGTAGCACTTCAGGAGAAAGGGCCACACTGTCTTTCGTAGGCTCTTCTCGAGGCCGCCGAAGAATACGCATTTCCTCAGCAGCAGGTCGTCCTCGATCTGCCCCTTCTCATTGAGCAGTGTGCCGTAGAAGAAGTTCGTGGTTATCTTCTTGACATCCCCCTCGTCCGGATGCATCTCGGATTTCTTAACCTCCGGCCGGCAGACCATGAAGTGCCTGTACGGCAAGTCGAACTTATCCTGGCCCGTTTCCGATGTGATGTTGTGCAGAAAGCAGTGCCACTGATGCAGAACCTGGGCCAGATGGTCCAGCCCTCCGTAGTGGAAATGGAGTATCTTGTACTGCGATTCCCGCGAGGCGATAACCAGCTGACCGGAAGTACAGTTATCGTCGTTAAAGAACAGGCGTAGCGATCGCATTTGGCTGAGATCGACGGAGAAATGGCGGCACTTCATCACCGACTTCTGGCGATCGGCCGGCGTCGAATTGCCGCTGTCCGGGAACTCCAGGTTGTGCTTGAAGGCCAGGAGCTCCGGGGTCGTCCACTTCGGGTTATCGGATGCCGGGCCATCCGAAAGACCCGGTCCACTGGCGCATTCCGAGCAGTTATTTCCGTCGGGCCGGATGGTGATGCAGTTGAACGACTGCGAAATATTGCTGTTCTCGATTTGCGGATTCGAAATCGTTATGTTCACCGACGTGATGGGGTTGTTCTTCAGCAAGGCCGTCAGATCGTCTATGGATGCGGTCTGGCCGCCCAGCAGCGGCTGCAGCTCGTTCTTCAGCTCCTGCATCTCCGCCGCGTTGTCATCCTCCTCCCGGATGTCCCGTTCCTGGATCGTCTGGGGTATGGTCACGTGACAGTAGCCGTTCCGGGAGTCCGGAGACCTGGTCCTCGGATTGCACTGACCCCGGCAATCCTCGGGGCTCAGATTGGTGTATTTACATAGCGAGGAGTTCGGAATCCAGGTGAGCAGAAGCGTCGGCCTCTTGGCGCTGTTGTACTGATCCACAAAGGTCTTGGTCGTGCAGGTCAGATATCCCGGGTTGTGTAATATATCCGATTCGTCGCGCGCGATTGTGGGCGGATGAATGCAAACGTTATTCTTGCAGAAGAGGATTTCGTTGTCTTCGTAAGAAATATCGATTTTTTTGTCCAACCTTTCGTCGCCTAGTATAAAGCTAGACGCCTTTTTGATAATGCTTCCGATGGGCATGTTTGAACGCAATATTGTTGAGCGGGTGGCTTTAACGCGATTTAGGTTTCCTTTACGGATTATTCAAAGTGTTTTCGAACTGGGTGGGTGGGGACTTTTCCTGTGGTTAGCTTTCGGTTTGGCTGATTCTGGATTGGTAATGGTCGGTGGTTACCATAATTCTTTTGATTTCAACTGTGACCCATTGACAGGCAATTGTTTTTAACACAACGGATTAAATAAAGGAAAACTATTAACTTTGATTCTAGGTAGGGACCTCTCGCAAGCAGGATGACATTGGAGGAAAAGAATTTCAGTTAAAACTTAGCGCAGGCGCATTTCACAGTCTGGTTTCAAAAATACTTTCGATATGTGAGCTCTTTGATTTTTAAGGATTTTATTATTGGAACTTAAAAACATGGAACCAAAGTTAATGGAGTTAAATACATTTTAGTTACTCTATAAAATAAATAGTTTTTAATCTATTTATAGACATTTTCTTTTAAGTCAGGTATTGTATTTATTTTTACAATAACTGTGATGAAATACCTTAATTTAAAAAAAATATATATATATTTCAATTAAAAATATTTTTAAACCCAAAGGAATTTTGAAATTGAAACAGAAAATGTTTTTGCGGAGCATCTATCGATACATAAATTCGTACCACCTCTAATTGAATCAATAAACGCGTGAAAATATTTACATTGTTGAGTTCGGTTTGTTTTCATATTCAAATTAAGATAATGGCTAGCAAAAGAAAACACCCGGCATCCGCAAAAGCACAAGAAGAGTCATTTAAAAAACATACGCTAGACTCGGACGAAGAGGATTCAGACGACTACGAGAGGTAAGGCTGAAAACCTGAAGTCACCATTGTTTGTTTTGATTCGAGTGCTGTCTGTTTGCAGGGAGTATCTTAATGATAGCGACATCGAAGGAGGCGAGGATGGAGTGGCTAAAGTTGAAGACGATGTGAAGGTAACTCCGTTTAATATGAAGGAGGAATTGGAAGAAGGACACTTCGACAAAGATGGCCACTACCATTGGAACAAGGAGACGGAAGCGAAAGATAATTGGTTGGACAACATAGACTGGGTTAAGGTAGGGATTCCATTGTTACAATTTCGAATAAAACCTTATAAACGATTCGTAACACAGATTGGCAAGCAGAAGAACGCCTTTGACCCTGCCAAAGATGACCAGAACTCCAACTCCTCGGATGATGATAAGATCGAACCGGCGGGAAAGGCCTTCAACTTGTCCATGAATCTGATGAAGATGCTCGAGTTCATGAAAGAGGGCGAGACTGTTAAGATGACCCTGCAACGGCTGGGAAGTCAGCGTCCCGTCCTGACCACTCTACAAAGAATTAAGCAGAAGAAAGCCGGAATTGTCGACACAAAGACGCAGGAAATCTCCCAGCTCACCGAGCTGGCCAATGAGATCCTGTCGAAGACCGGAAACATGGACATATATGAAGAGACCTACGAAACTATTAAGTCCAAGATCGCTGATTTGCCAGGCACTAGCAAACCCAAGCCAGGCTCTGATATTGACATGTACGCCGATGATTTCGAAACGAAGGAGCTGGAGCGGTCGAAGACCTCGAATGCTACTGAAAAACCAACTATGACTACCTCGGAGGTGACCTGGGAGTTCAAATGGTCGCAAAATGAGACTGAAATCCAGGGCCCATTCAGCACTGAGAAAATGTTGAAGTGGTCCCAAGAGAACTACTTTAAAAATGGAGTCTATGTCCGAAAGTGTGGCGAAAACACAAATTTCTACACCAGCAACCGCATAGATTTCGATTTATACTTGTAGGCCTTATGTAACGATTATTGTAGTTATCTTTTTCAATTAGTTGGTTTCCTCTTACTTGACTTTGTTCTACGTATTCAAAGTCATATGAAAGCATTGCAAGTTAATCATCATTTAGCATTAGAATGATTGATTAATTTAACCTAAAATCTTAGTTTCTTCAATGTATCTTTTATTCGAGTTATTCCTTGAATATTTATTTCAATTTCAATTTTATTTGTTTATATCCTAACGCTACAAGTAAAAATTTATATTATCTGAATTATTATATTATATCTGAATTGTATAAATAAAATGTCGTGGCGAGGGCACAAATAAGATCATTCTTTATGATATTCTTGTATTCCCTTTTGAATAATATAATATAATTATATTTATTTTTTAACAGTAAAGATGGCAAGTTTAAAATTTGTCAGCGATAGTGAATGTTCGAGTACCGATAATGCAATCGATGTTTCTGCAGCTTTGATTTAAGTTCGGGAGCTTTGACAACCCTGGATACACATCGATTACCGTAGCTGAAAATTGTTTTATGTTTAATTAAATACAGGCAGATAATCCGAGTACTAATTGGTGTTATGGGCGCTAAGTAGTCGCCACCGTTTCCCACTGAGAACTTTGGTTACTGTTGATTTCTTGTACCAGTTGCCTGTTCCCCGCAAAGAAAGCAAATTTGTCAGTGATTCTGTGTTGTTGGACACTCACTTTTCATCGGTGGGTGCTGCGAAGAAAATAAAGTTCTGGACCAGCCGAAACACTTGTCAGGATGACGACCAAACACATCTATTCCACGACCAATTTATCAGATCTGCAGTTGAAGGAGCAGGGCAATTGCCTGTTTGCAGCCCGAAAATATGACGACGCAATAAACTGCTACTCAAAGGCCATCGTAAGTGTCATATGCTGTTTACATTGCCATGTTCTATGCTCCATATAACATATGCAGATCAAAAACCCCACAAACGCCACCTACTTCACAAACCGAGCCCTCTGCAACCTGAAACTCAAGCGATGGGAACTGTGCTGCCAGGACTGTCGGCGCGCCCTGGACATCGATGGGAACCTGCTGAAGGGACACTTCTTCCTGGGCCAAGGACTCATGGAAATCGACAGCTACGACGAGGCCATAAAGCACCTCCAAAGGGGTAAGATCCTTGATAATACGATTCACCCGTGATCTAACTGTATGGAAATTCTAGCTTACGATCTGTCCAAGGAACAAAAGCAGAACTTCGGGGATGATATTACCCTGCAGTTGCGACTAGCTCGCAAAAAACGCTGGAATGTCTTGGAGGAGAAGCGAATACAGCAGGAAATTGAATTGCAAAGCTATTTGAATCGGTGAGTAGTCCTGGATTATGTTGCAAATGTTTTCTTGACATATAAGTTATAAAGAAAGTATGGTAGTAATAAAACTTTGAGACAAAACGCAGTAAAATTGTATGGTTTCTAAAAAAAAGCTTTATTCGTGAGCCCCAAATTTTTATGTAATGTTTTTAGTAAGTTCGTAAATGAAAAGGTAACAAAAACTGATTGATAATTTTTTGGTTTCGAAGGAAAGCTTTTTAAGAAGCAAATCGATACTAATTTTATGTATTTTCAGGTTAATAAAGGGAGACATGGAAAGCCGATTGGCTAATTTAAAACTTAATGAAAGTGTACACGAGGAACAGCTTAAGGACAAGCAACAGGAAATTGAACAAGAGTGTGTAAGTTCATTTAAAACTTTTAACAAATGGTGTAAGTCTACAAATAGTTAATGATTTCACCTTTTTTAGGACGACCATGTGAAAGAACTAAACAATATATTTTCTAAAGTTGATGAACGCCGAAGGGTAAGTAACATAACATATCAATTGCAATTATTTTTTTTTAATTCTACAGTATACTCGTGTCTTGAACATTGTTTACAATTAATTAAAATTTAAAAATTTACAGAAACGCGACGTTCCTGATTTTCTATGTGGCAAAATTAGTTTTGAAATATTAACGGACCCTGTGATAACTCCTTCTGGAATTACCTATGAACGAAAAGATATAGAAGAGCATTTACAGCGAGTTGGACATTTTGATCCTGTTACACGTGTGAAGCTCACTCAGGATCAACTAATACCAAATTTTTCGATGAAGGAAGTGGTTGACTCTTTTATTGCAGAAAACGAATGGTCTTTAGATTATTGAGTTAAATGTATATTGTGGCAGTATCATTGTAATTGATTAGATGTTAGAACCCAGTTCACATTGTCTAAAAAAACCAAAATAGTGATAATAAATGTGGATCTGCAACTGATTAAAGTTTGATTATTATTTCTCTGCAAAAGAAAATAAATATAGCCAAACATTTCCATTTCGAAACGAAAAACAGCTGATATAACATTTTTTAATCGAAGGAATGTAAAATTCCGATATAATCGTTCCATTTTTATCGTTTCAAGCGCGAAAGCCGGAACTATCTTGGCCACAGCTAAATATCGATAGAAATTTGTTTACAGAAATTCATAGAAATCATTTTCAAAGGAACATGTCCATTCCTAATTGACTGATTTGTCTTAACTTTTATTTGTGTAATTATTATTTTTGTAAGCCATGAATTCGTCTCAAAGCCAATCGCAAATGTCCGCAGAGGGCTCGGCTCAAGATGTTCGAATCCTGTGCTTGCAAAATCTGATCGAGAAGAATATTGAGATAGGTAAGTAACAGCATAACTCTATAAATGTAACATTAATTATTTACTTCAATGCAGAGCAACAAATTGAAAACAAGACTTTTGATCAATCCATTGCGGCAATCGAGGAAATCATTCGGACAGCGAACGATATTAACAAGGGACACGAGGACCGCCGTACAAACTCGACTGAGCTTGTTCTCGACACGGAGTTATTGCGACGCAATCACGAAGTTGTGGGCAAAGCTATACAGTACAACACTAATTTTACGGACAGAATGGTGATCACGGCGATCGTAAGTACGCACTGCAGTTTATTGATACCAACTTTATTATAATGTTCGAACATCCAACAGAATGAACTGGTTTTCAAAGAACACGAAGAGGATTGGGACGCGGTCTGCGCTCTGGCCATTCAATTCGGGAGACCGCTCTTCACGAACGATAGTATGCTTCCCTTCATCGATGTTGCTCCAAAGGAGGTGGTTCCCAAGCAGCGGGCTCAACGCAAACAGAAATCTCAAGTATGTATCGTTGTCGACCCCATAACACACACTATAAATTCCTGATCATCACTCCTGGCGAGTCGACGCGGACATGACTGTTTAACAGTTTCTATACCTTCCAAAGTTGTTTAGGATGGAACTATGGAGTATTCATGTACGGTTCATTTCCAATCTAATTCGCTTTGAAATGATATCTGCATCTCCATGGATCGACCCTTGTACAGGTGTACGCTTTTAAAAGTATTCTAAATCTACATATTGTTTTGGGTAAAGTGTAATTTGGCTTTTCTTTATTGTGTCCTGGGAAACCTGTTTTTTTTACAGACTGAAAAAAATATCTTAATTTTCAAACTTTAAAGATATCATTTAATGACAATAAAAAACAAATATCTATTTATTACTCACTTATATAAATCGTTATTTTAGGTGGAGGAAAAGCGTCCACAGAAAAGTGATAAATTGGACCGCAAGGACGAAGGAGCAGCCTCCGTTAGCCATATGCTAAAACAAATCAGGCAAATATATCGAGAGGGAGGTCATCAGCCGATTCCGTATTTCAAATTGATTTGCAATCCAAATAACTTTATGGACACCGTTCAGAATGCCTTGCAACTTTCGTTTCTTGTCAAAGAGAACTATATTTCCATTGAAAATGGCGATGATGGTTTGCCTTTGGTCCACGTTGTGAGTTCAAAAAGTGCGGAGGGAAACCAGTCCGCTCAAGCTATTTGCTCGATCGATGTTGCCTTTTGTGAGGTATGTACCATAGGATGTTTAAATGATTTCCATCTCACGACCTATATTACAGAAAATGGCCAAGCACTACAATCTACGTGAGCCAATGTTGAAAAGACTTCAAGTTAATGACTAACTTTCATATATCATTTAATTTCTCAAAATAGTTTGTAATGTTATTAATAAAACCAAAAGATTATCGTTGAAAAACGATTTGGCTTCATTCCATATTATGTCAGGAATCACTTTTATTTCAGAATTAAATCGCTTTAAATCTTATTTCCATATTAAGCTGAAGCAAAAAAATGTGTTCTTGAATTATGGTTTTTCTATATATGTGCGTTCGCGCATTCTTAGGGTTAATAGAATAAGTTTTTCCCCTAAAACATAAAACAATTAACGTATTATCAACACAAAGTCATTAAATGAATTTTATTACTCAAACAGTTACTTCACAGTTCAAAAAGTTCCCCCAATATTTTACTATGAATCCGCCCCTGACATTATGTCAATTTTTATGTCCGCCTACAAATTGTGAAATAGCTGGGGTACTTCACAAGTACCGTACTTGCGAAGACAAAATAGTAGGAAGTCAATGTATTTAGTTATGCCGCACTTTAAGAGAGGTATTTTAAAAACTATTTCAAGATTGCAAAAGCGTTATTATTATTTCTCGGCCCATTTCTGCACAAGAACGGTGATAATTCTACCTGTACTCAATAGGAAAAATATAAAATACTAAGTTAATAAATTAATACTCCTCAGTAGATAAAATTAATTTCTTCATTCATTAAAAAATCACTCCCAAGCTTGAAATACGAGTACTTTCCCTTGCACTGTGCTATTAATTGAATTCCGTTAACTTAATTCCACATAGAAGAAATTAAGATTAATTAAGATTTATTACGCAACGCAGCTTAGGGTTAATTGCATTTGTGTGGTCGATGGAGTTTAAAAGGCTTGGCGTAAAATAAAGGCTTGATAATAGTGCACCGCTTCTATAGAAACTTTATGTGGCACATCAAAAACTATTGTCCGAGATTTTCAGTTCTCTATCTCATATCGGCGAAAAGAGTTGACCTAAGTGTATAAAAGTGATCCAGTGTTTAATTATATAGAAAACCAAAATGAAGATTTATTACTCCATATCAGCATAGCAACGAACGACCTAATTAATAGACTCCCAATCTTGAAAATACAAAATTAATGATGCACAAGCGCAGTTTAAATAAGTTTGCCAAGATGGGGTTTGTCTTAGAAAAATTCACTCCGAATTACTTATACTTCAATTCTTAAAAGAGCGCTCAACTACTTATTCTATTTTGCGAATTTATTTTTTGCTTAATGAATGAATTGAAACTTGCTCTTTTATTTGGTCTTCAATAAAATATACTACATATACAAGTTTAAAAAAATATATATTATTATAAACATTTTAAATAAAGTAAAGTGGATTACCCTCACCCTACCCCAATAGTAATTATTTATTTAATTTGTTAATGTCTAAATTCAGTTACTTTCCTTTGTTCCACTCCCAGGACCGTGCACTTTTTAATCCAATGTGGGTGGCTTAGTTCCGAATCGAGCTATGCTAAATTACAACCAAATTCGGCTTCATAAATTTCTTTGGATTACTTTCGCATTAAGCGTTTGCGTAAGGTTCGAATGTACATTTGTTCTCGCATTGATATTCTGCTGAAAGCTACATAAAGTTAAATGCATACATATGCAGAGACATCACCCACATTATTGTAACTCACCCGTGGTCACACGTACAACTGAGGTCAGTGTAATAGCATCTTGTATCCAAGGTGAATCTTCCATGTTTTCATAACTACAGAAAAGCATAATTTTTTTTTTTAATTTAAATTTTTTAAAAAAGATTCTTATTTTGGGTAAACAAATAAACTATTTAGGGAAATCATAATTTTTCATTAGATATGGGAAAAATTAAAGTTTTTTACAATTCTAGCAATCAAACGAATTATGGTTTTTAAATTTTGAAGAGTATTGAATAGGTTCTTACTTTTAATCAGGGACAGTAACAGTTATAAGTTTTATTGATAAAATTCGCACTGAAAAACTTCTTTCACAAATACGTTGTACAAAAAGTCCTATTTTCCACCTTAAATAAATTAAAAAAAAATATTTTTTTTTAAATATATGTTTTAAAGATTGATAAAGATTAAAGATTATTTTTTTAGTCATTAAAATTGTAAATAACTGTTCTTTTCGTTCCCTGCTTTTAATTGAAAAGTTTTATTATTCAAAATCGTTTTAATTATATTTTTTAAAATTTACTTTTTACCATAAAAATAGCATAAATAGTTAATTGTTAGTTAATGGGTGTCTTCTTTTGTGCCACTATGTCGCCCTGAACTGTGGATCTGCACATATCTGTATGTACGCACGTTTGGCTCCAGACTTTTGGGTGGCGCTGGCAATCGACTCTATGCCCATGTGAGTGGTGGGGCCTGGGCCCCACTCCTCCGTGGAAATCGGGGAGCTCCGGGTGCTGTTGTTAGCACTCGATCGCCAGAGCTGCGCTGATGCTCGCGGCGCGCTCTGCCTCCAACACTTCTGATTCCAAAGCCGCTTTCCCGAAAATTCAGTTCGGATTTTAGTTCGGATTTGAGTACCACGCGATGAAGACGGCGGCTTCAATTAATCCAGAATTAAGAGTGCAGTGATACGGGGTGTTATATTTTTTGCAAATAGTTAATTGAGAAAATGAAGGAGATCCTTCAGAATTAAATAACCTTTGTGTTTCTGTGACCTTTCTTGTTCTGTGATTGTGCGAAGTAAATTTAAGCCCAGATCCTTAAACGATCAACATGATATTAATGCTTAAATTGTAAACTCTACAACGTGTGAATAAAAACACTAGCTTCCAAAAAAGGATTTAAATTTTCTAGTGATCATAGCGAAACCGCAATTAAAAAGGTATTTTGATGTATGATAGTATTGAAAGTAATCCGTATCCTTTTGTTTTTCCCCAGGCCTTTTCAGTGAATAAAGTAAAGTATCTACAATTGTTTGGTTTGTTAACTTTTGGCCTCTTCAAAGGTCCGCAGACAAATTCAATACGGGCTTAATTGCTTTTTCGGAAATGTGCGTAATTGATTCGGGCTTTCTTGAAATGCGTTTTGGGACAAACCAATTTACCTCACTCATATTGAACCGTTATCTTCTCGATGACAGTGATCACTCAAGTACTGAATGCATAATGAAAGAAAGCCCTCTGTCGATGGAAGTTTCGATTCCCATAACACTACATTATTTTGCATGCCTTAAATGTTGGAACGTAATTACAGTCATTATGTTTTAGGATTGAACGGATAATAACACAGTCGGCCAGAAAACTAGTTGTCCAAATCTGAAAGCGAAATCAAATGTATCCAATTCGATTGGTGACAGACACTAGCACATAATGTTTTTCGGTTATCTTCTTCGGCGAGCTATTTAAACAAACCCATCTGGACGCATACATATGTTTCAAAATAATTTCCCGTTTTGCTTTTGCTAATTGCGGAAGTTTCACACAATGTTATGCGAGTGTGAATGACGAAATACAAGAATGCGGGAATATGACATATGTATCAAAATATTTTGGGCAGACGTAATTTGGTTTCTATGGGCGGCCGATTGAAGATTTTCTAAACACTTCACTTTAATGCAAGTTCTTCATAATATCAGCACTCTTTGAATTTGAATTGAGTGTTTCTGAGTTTCTGAGTTCAGTGGCATGGTGAAGTGCTAATGCCATTGCAACACTGCCTTTGTGGCTATTCATACATGGGCAAATGCAGTTTCACTGCATGATAGGCCCAATATGGGCCTATTGACACAGATAAGTATGAAAAGTACATTGTGACATTAAGAATTTGTATACCCGGTACTCGTACACTTCCAGGGTATATCGCCTCTTTCCGAATGTGTGTCAGTCGCGGCCAAAGTACTTTCAACCTCATTGGGATTGCTCCTTATGGGGATAAACTATCTGTTCTTGAACTCCTGACAATAAATTTACTAAGTTTCAGAGTAGCTTGCGAATTATATATGATGAGTTTTCAATTTTGTAAAATATCATTCCGTTTATATGAGCCTTCTTTTAATATTTTCTGAACTAATTTGAATCGGTTCCAGATTGTACGGTATTCTCAAGCCCCAGCTTAAAACGGACTGATTTATATAATTATATAATATATTTTATGTGCGTATTTGTAGTATACGCAATAGATGTGTGCTCATACATAGCTCCAAAATGTTGAGTGGGTGTGGAGGCTTCTAATGAAATACGCCCTTCCCATTTTTGTTCACGGATGTTTGTAGTGTATGCTGCCGAAAGTACATCCATTCCAGTCGAATAGTCACGGTCGGTTTATTCGTAATCAATGGAAATAATGGAACTTGAGTTCCTCTGTGCGAGTTGCTAATACAAAGCCTCAATATGCGTACAGGCACACATTGAAGATCGCTTAAAACGATAGCGAATTTATCTAAAAAGTATCCAGCTAAATTAAAGCTTTGGGATCCGGGAATGTCAAAATTCGTAGGCTGTAGCGGTTGTAGTTTGTGATAATATAATCATTTAGGTTATAAAAATACCAAACCATTAATAATATATTTTATTTAATTTCGTCTTTCAGGCTTCAAAATGGCACGGCTGTTTGTAATATTCAGGTAAGGACAAAATATCAGGAAACTTGTTATGGCTTAATCGTTTCCAAAGTCGAACTTATTGGATTTTTTTCACAAGATACAATTTTGATAGTCAAAAAGAGGGCGGGGAGAACATCTTCCTCAGCTGCATTTAATCAAGATTTGTTTACCCTCGCCGCCGAACAGTGGCTCGTTTTCACAGAAAATATTATGAAAAGTGTACATAGCTATCAAACACATCTTGATGCTTCAAAGAACTTTTTTTGAAAGCACCAATGCTGCCAATGAATTTTTTTTTGCCTTCGAATTGGATTTGATTCATCAGTGACCAATCGGAAGTGAAAAAGAGATATGACTGATTTGATGAACTAATCTGTTTCCTTTCCTCACAAATAATTTATTTAATTTGTAGCATGTCAAACATTTATCACAATTTAAATTATACTTCCTAACATTGATGAATTCCTTTAAATAAATCGAAATTTCTCTCCTTTTCAGTATTCTTACAATTCTCGCATCTATACCCGACACCAGTTTCGTAAAAGCGGATTTAACCACTAAAGAACGAATAAAGGTAGGTTTTCCATAGTCCTTAGAAGACTATGGACGTTTCCTCGTCTGTATGTTAGACTAGAATAAGTAGAATAAGTTATTTTATAAATAGTTTATTTTAAACCTAATCCATAAATAAGAAGAAAGGCAGTTAATTTAATGCTCGCTCGATCCGAGCGGTTCCAGGAATTCCAAGGTTACAAGACTGAGCGTTGCAAACTTCTGACTGAAATTAAAATACCCTCTGCAAGGGTATTAAAAGAAAATGTATTTATTATTAAAGTACTATTAAATAAATATAACTTATGGCTGTCGGGAAAATTTGGTGTAAAAGGCTTGGGTCAAAAGAGTTCTAGCGTGCTCTTAGAACATTTTTCCCGCTTCATCGGTATCGATAAGCTAGAAGTTCAAAAACGACAATATATGACGCATTTATTTTTAATAGCTAGATTAGCCTTTTAAGTCGTTAATTCTCGTTAAATGCCTTCATAAGTACAATAAACTTCTTTAGTGCTAGTTTTACGAAATTAAATCACTATATTTGTCCAGATTATCGTTGTGTGTGTTTTTCGTTTATTTATATAATTTAATTTATGGTTGTTTTTGATTAGAAACATCAAGATTGGCTAAGGGAACATCGAAAACCTAAAACGAAAAAAATTCATTCGAACAACTCATATTTTGAGCTTGCTAACTTGTGGCATACGAGAAAAGATTTATCCCTTAAGCAAAAACCAAATAACAAAGAAGAATATTTAGAAAATGAAACCACTAGTAAAATATCTACGAAAACCGATGAAAAAGTATTAAAACCAACGATCATTCTAAAAAATGCCAATCAAAGTACATCGACATCTAAAATTGATTTGGAAACAACTACGTTAGCAAGTTCGATTACTCGAGATCCGGTCGATAATCGTGAAGTTGGAACAACAGGACAAACCCCGAGTATTGACGAGGTTTTCTCTTCTCCAAACCCACCAAAAGAAATAACTACAAAAAAGATGAAAAAGAAAGTCTACCCATATCCACGATGGGATAAATGGAGTAACTGGAGCTCATGCTCGCGAAGTTGCGGTGGAGGCGTAAAATATCAGATTCGAAAATGCATTAACCGGTGAGTAATAGTCTACATATCTTATGTACAACATTTTCTGATTTAGATTGCTACTTAGTTATACCGACAAATTTCTGGAACTTTGTCATTGAAGTCCTTTGAAGGGCTTACATTCAAATAAATAATGTACCTACATTAAGCTAAATATTTTTCTTAAATTTCAGAAATCTATTGACGAATAATCAGCTTACGAGTAATGCATGTGTTGGTTATTTCAAACGCTATCAGCTGTGCAATGATATTCCATGCGACGAGCAATCCCCGGATTTTCGAGCTTCTCAATGTACTACTTACAACGATAAAGAGTTTCATGGTCATCGATATAGGTGGGAACCATATGTGAAGGGTATGCATTTGCCGCAATCTATGATAAAGCTTTAATTAATAAAAAAGGGCATTAAATGTATTAGTCGATTTTAGACATATTCGAGTATCGAGTATAAACATAATTCTTTAGACATTTTTTCCAAATACAATAGATAGAAAATTTAATTTTTAGATGATGCTGAATGTGAGCTAAACTGCATGCCATTTGGGATGAAATCGTTTGCCACACTTAACGAATCCGTAATTGACGGTACGCCTTGTCGACATCCAGCCGAATACTATCGATCCCAACTTTGGAACCGCGCAGTTTGTGTTGATGGTGCTTGTAAGGCAAGTAAAATGACAATACATTATTATAATTACAGCGCGTTGATATCCTTGAAGGCAGGCATCAAAAATATCAAACGCAAGTTTTTATTTAAACCTATAATTTAAAAAATAAAGCATATTTGTAGTTCCATCACCAGCAACCAAGCAATGATCGAACATTAAAAGCACTAATTGTGCGCTCATTCTTCGATACTAAAGCTTTTATAAGTACAAGAATCGCATTGAATACTTAGTATTGGTTGTACATTGAATCATAAAGCACATCAAATTTATAGTGATCCGTAAAGAATTTGTAATATTTGAAAAATTTAATGTGGTTTATTTTTTCTATTATTTAAGGTGTAAACCGGTGTTTTTAAGTAGACATAATTAAAAATATTTTTTTTAATGTATATTCCCGACGCAAGGATTTGTGGTTAACAATCTTACACCTAAAAAATTTAGTGTTAAATAAACATCCATATAAAAGTGTAACATGAATAAAACACAAATCAATAATTTTACCTTTTAAAAATTAAACGTAGCTTGCTATTAAACTTGATACACAGTTTAACCTTGCTTCACATTGTTTGGTCTTTTGTGTCGTTCCTCCAATACTCAAAACCTTTTGTAATTTTCAGTTTTAAATTGATTCTTGAGAACCGGAATAGGTCAGCAAATCAAAGTAGAAATAATTTCGTGAAAGCAAAAACTGGAATGGGTCCAATGAGCTTAATTTCAATGAATTATTTTAGTAAACACATTGCCGCAGTTGTGCGTACAGAAAGTCCATCCAAAAAGCAATTGCTTATAGAACATATGCCCCTTAATAAGACTGACTGAATGTATTTTGTACTCATTTATTTTTTGTTTATCTTGTACTCTTAATAAGTGGCCAATAAATAATGTTTTTGCAAAGCCCACGAATTCCACTCGTATTACCCTGAACTTACTATATATAAGAAGTATTTTTAATATTCTTGTGTAGAAGCTGAGCGTAGTTCTCGGTGAATGGTTCGAAATAGAGAAAATATAACTTATCAATGGGCTTTATATAAGATGAACAAATTAATAATTTGAGTATATTTTATTAGGTGATTATAAAAACAGTATTATCCACTACGTGTTTAAAAAAAGTGATTAGTTAAAATAACAAGAAATGACAGTTTTGATAGCATTGCTATTGCTGGTGAGTAGACATGGTGATTTGGACTAAGACTAAGGCTGGAAATATAACTTATAACGCGGGCTTTAAAGTTTATAATAATTATTATAAATTTTTAGGCGGTACATGCCAGTGGTGACATCGATGGATTGTATGCTCACAGTGGGTCCGTCAGTTGCGGAGGATTACTGTGTCGGCCTGTCACCGGGATCTTTACCCGAGATCCCCTTCCGGAACAAGCTTATATACACGTTACTACACTACCAGTGGGTGCCTCAAATATTTCGATAACGGAACTTAAAAATAGCATAAACTTGCTGGGTAACTCTTTTCGTGGTGTTGCATAATACTTTTCATATTCTAAGCTCTTTTTTCTGGTCTCCAGTCCTGCGAACATCTAAAGAGGTATCCATTTTCAATGGCGAAAATTCTGTGTCGGAAAGTGGTTCCTATGAAGCGGTTGGTGCCGTCTTCGACTATCACCGAATCGATGGAACCCAGGATAGTAGTGGGGTAACAGAGTGGATTACAAGTATTGGGCCCATCAGGGACTCATTGCAACTTATGGTATTGGACTCCTACGATTAAATGTACAAATTCTAATTTACAAATTTGTTACTTTAGGTGTTCACTAAGACGGCGAATAATACTGGCATAAAGTACGAGTACATGCTGCCGATAATATCCGAGTCTGAGGAAAACGAGATGTCGCTGGAGAGTAGCGATGGTCTGTTGAGATCCGGAATAGAGGACACCAGTTCGTCCAGTAGCTCGAGGGCGGGACGAAAGCGTATCTTTAATTGGAAAGTAATTGGGTTCAGTGGCTGCACGAAATCCTGCGGAGGCGGCACTCAGACACCCATTATTCGTTGCATTCGCAAGAACCCATTGCGGTACTACTCGCAACGCCGTTGCGTGCATTCAGTGAAACCGGTGCTGAATGAGAACCTACTGCACTGCAACACGCAACCCTGTCCGGCGTATTGGAGATTTGACGATTGGGGCGAATGTCGTTGCCTGGCCAGCGGAGCCTTCCGGCGGAGGGAGGTCAGCTGCGTCCAGGAACTGGCTTCCGGACTGGTCATCCATGTCGATAAGGCCGCCTGCATGGAGGATCAGCCACCCACCCAGAAGCAGTGCGAATGTCCCAAAACCCGTCGCCGCAACTTGTCCCGATATCGCCTCCAAGGCAACTCGGAGTCCTCGAACAACACCCAAGTCAAAAGGAGCAAAGCGGATGGGTCCGAGGTAAATGCCATCTGGTTGATGTCCGAATGGAATCAGTATTGCTCGGCCACTTGCGGCTCGGGCGTTGAGTATCGCACAGTATTTTGTGATCGCTCCAAGGCCGGCGAGCAGCGATGTGATCCCAGCACCACACCAGAAAGTCGTCGTCCGTGTGAGAAGCCCAGCTGCGAGGTGGGCGACTGGTTCACGGGTCCTTGGTCCTCGTGCAATGGCGATTGCTTCGACCTGACCCGCAGCCGGGAAGTGCTGTGCATCCAAAACCAGCTGATCACAGAGCCCAAGGAGTGCACGCCGGAGCTAAAGCCTCAATCTGTCGAAAAATGCTCTCACGAGGAGGTGGAATACTGCGCTGCCCGTTGGCATTACTCGGATTGGTCGGAGGTAATTAAATAGATCCGGGGTGTTGAGGAATATTTACACCGAAAATTTATACTGAAATTTAAATTACGAGTCACAGTAGGTTTTGTGGTACTATTTTGAAGAGATTTTCAATACCAACAAAAAACCGTTAGATGTTAGGGATAATTTCTGAATTCTCTAAGACTGTTTATATACTTACATTTATATTTAGAAATTTTTTATTGAATTTTCTTTCATCATTTTAAATCTTATTTTGGATAAAACGAATAGTTTTTTTATAATTTTGTCATTACTTGTTTTTTACGTAATTCCATCGTGTAAATTTAAAATTAAGATTTGAATCTTTATTTTCCTATAGACATGTAGCTCATGGTACCTTTATCTTTCTACTTGTAATTTTTCACAGTGCACAAAATCATGTGGCGGTGGTACTCAGCGGCGTAGTGTCAAATGTTTGGAGTACGATATAAAGATGAACGCCCTACGGGAATCAACGCAATGTCGATACACGACCAGAGAACCCATATATCGTAGCTGCAATGCGGAAAAGTGCGAAGGTGGGTTTTCATTTTCGGTGGCATTTCAAGCGCTGACTTTATTTTGTATTTTACAGAGGAGCAAAAAACTGAAGCTGTTCCGAAATGCACTAATAAATTCGCCAATTGTGAATGGGCTCTGCAAGCCAAGCTATGTAGCTACGATTATTATCGCGAGAACTGCTGTGTCTCTTGTACCGGTGGCATTTAAAGTTTGTAGTTCGTAAGGATCTTACTTAATTTATAAACCGACTCTTTAGACGCCGTGCAGAATAGCTACGGAAATACATTAGTTTCCTCTGAATATGTAATTTTTTACCTTAAACAACTAGTATTTCTGACACTAAAGCTCAAAAGAAAGCTTGCAGGGAAGCGCAAAATTAAATTATCGGTCAAGTGAAATGTTTAACACAATTAAATAACACGTACTAAAATAAACTAGATGAAGACTAAAACATCATAACTAGTAAAATTATACATAATCTTAAAATAAACCAAAAACAATGTTCACTTATATGAAACCACATAATTATTAATAAACCAGAGATTAAAAGAAGGGTTTTTTTTGGTTTAAGAATAATGAAATCATTTTATTTCTCATAAACGATTGATTAGTAAAGTCCATCTAATTTCTTCGTCATTTAATAGCCCTGTCGCGGAGCTGTAATTTATCAAGATTGTTTTAAATCGTTAGTTAATAAGCAAATAGTTTTGAGTAAGCACATTTAAATATAGGTTAGTGCGTGGGTTATTTTAAATGGTGTATCCCAATATTTGCCAGACTAATCTTATTGTGAAGAAATATAAAACTTCAACAAGGCCCAATACACTGAATCCAAGAAAAAGTCCTGCTGTTCCGCCGATTGAAACTAGAACAGAGGTAAACATTGTTAACAAATATATTTTAAGAACAGTAAGTAAATTCAGTTACCCAAAAGATCGGTCATTGAAAATATAACTTGTCGCTTTAGCCGAGTCTGCGGCCAAGTTTTGACCGTTACCTGACTTCCAATACCTTGAAGTAAATGTTTTGCATTTGCCATTGGCTGGACAAGTAGAAAAAAACTTTAAACTTTTCAAATATCTTAGGTAAAAGCAACGTTGAGACTTACGTCTATGGATTTTATTGTAACTACAGCATCTAGGCAGTTCTGTTCGCAATAACAACTAGCGGGCTTCTCGTGCTTGCCATTTTCTTCGTAAAGCTTAAGAAAAAATTCTATAAAAGGTGTATTTATAAAATGTGTATTTTTAAAACGTAGTCCTTGTTCTTTTTTAAGATTTTTCTATACTTACTCGAGTGGCGAGGAAAGCACGATCTTAAAGTTTTATAATCGCAAACTTTTTTGGGATTTGCGACTAAAACAAAGTGTCAGGTTTTTAATGATTTTATGATATGATATCTTTTACTTACTGCGATTCGGGTAGAAGTGCGGAATGCATTTACATATTCTATATGCCAAATTGATTCGGCACTCTTGTTGACAAATATTTCTGGTATAGAACGGGAAGTGAGTTAGATTGGATTCATGGTAGAACCGGCATTTTCTCATGCTGACTGTCGTTTCACTGCGGAATATTTAAATACTCTAGATTTCGGTTTTAAATAGGTTTAAAATACTTGCTCTTCTAGGTTATCCTCAGCAACAATCTCTTCAGTGCTCAGATCGTACATCACACCTTCTACAGCGTAATTGGAATTGGAGTCAACCTTACTTACTTCAAATGCAGAATGTGCAAAGGCCTTTGGAATGTATAATATTTGAATTACCCTAGTCCTTGCAATATTAGTCATTTAACTAACTCACAATTATTGCAGGGCTTGAAAAGCCTCTCAATGTGAATTGCGTGTCCCTTTGAAAGAACGAACCGACCTGGCATTGAATTAGGGAAAGTTCCTGCTCATATCTGTTCGGCTCGGGATACTCTCCGTAGATAAAGTACTGGGAACTGTACTGTTCGGTTAGCATGGAGTTTCCCAAATAGCATAGTCCCCACTCAGTGAGAACCTGGCGCACATGAATGTAAGTCGAACCATCCACACAGCGGATGCGCTCCATAATATTTGGCTCGTAGGTTTTATCATAGGTGAGATTGAAAATTAGCTCCATGTACTTTTCCGGCTTCAGGCCTATGTCCTTAATAACTTGATCGACCTGTTCGCTCTCGGGAATGTTTTGAAAATTGATATAAGTGGAATTGGCCAGGTTCTCCAAAAAGTCCCAGAGAACATCTTTTTGTGGTCCTTTAACACCATTTTTCCTTAAATCGATTCGAAAATTGTAAGCAATAGCAGACCAAGAATATTGGATTATAGTTACTTATTACCGACAATAATCAGAGAAAAAGGTAATGTTCAGACGATCCATTGGGCATACTGTTACACTCGGTAAACTGGTATTCCAAAAGATATAGTTTCGCTAGTGGAATTGGTATAAAATTAGAATTTATTTTAGAGCTCTTTAAAGTACTTACCTCCAGTCCGATATGTGTGCTTTTCGTGTAATACCGATCTATAGATGATAGGCAGACAACGATACAGAAATATATTGATACAACCAGTAAGGTGAACCAAAGGAATCTAAAAAATAATTGCAAGGGGCTCATACACTGTGATTGACCAAACTGGGTATAACTTACTTCTCAAAGAAAATCAGCATTGCTCTAGTAAGATAGCGAAACCCATGTATGCAACAATTGTTGAAATATAAAATTATAAAATTTATAACAGCTTTTGGCCCTTTTCGATTTTTAAAGGCCTTTAAAGACTCCATGATCTTTTCTTTGAATGTCCTCACTTTATTGGTTTTTATATTGGTTTTAGTACACCGAAAAAAAATTATCATAGAAACAAAACTATTCGTACATTAATTCTAAACTATTGAGTTTAAAGTATATTTTATTAAGATGTATATTAAATAAATACTTTAGAGAATGCTATAGTTAAACTTTCGTTATAGAAATTAAACCACAAAATATGAATTTTAAAATATTTAGTATAACATTAATACTACACAGTTAAAATTTATTACTATTCGGTCGTAATTGAATACCACACTTTTATTCTGGACCTAGTATACTTTTAATACAACGATTATCAAGAGTTCACCTATGTTTTTTTGTTTTGGGTGAAGAGAAACAGTTAGACAAGATATTAGTAGAACGCTTCTTAGACGACTATATAACGGCTTTTGAAATCAAAAGTACTTATACCATTAAATTCGTTAGCGTGACTAGGCTCTGAAATGCCTTTTTGTGATTAGTTTGCAGATAGCTTCATTACTTATTTAATATTACTAGATTTTGCACTTGACTTGCTTATATTATAAAAGAGGTGACACAGTATAAGAGGGCCATTATTTTATATTATTTTAGAATTAGATTAGTTTGGGGTCGAGTCTTTTGGCATAAGGAAACATTACCGGGCGATGTAAGAGCTTAAGCGATAAAAACTTCTATAAATATAAAATTTCTATTAGAAGTTTAGTAAATGGTAAACTAAGAAGGGTAAAGTTTAATGAAAATAAAAAAGTGTATACTGTGCAGAAAGACCCCACAAAGGACTCTTTCGAGGGTTGTTGTTCCGACTATCTAATACCCGTCACTAAAGGAAGTGCGAGGGAGATGGATATATACCATTTTTATGATTGCGTATAACTTTTTATTAAATGGTCCGATTTGAAAAATGTCTTCTACATTTCGATAGGTATAGGTATACACAACAAAATTGCATTTATACTTCTCGGAAATCTTTAAAGGTGTGGGCGCCAGACACATTTTAAAATTGTTAGTGGGCGATTGTGGGCGTTAAAAGGGGGCGTGGCGCTTGGCTGAAATAAACTTGCGCTGCGTATGAAGCCCAAGATAATGTGTGAAAAATCTCAACCTTCTACCTTCCGTAGTTTCCGAGATCTCAGCGTTCATACGGACGGACAGACGGACGGACAGACAGACATGGCTATATCGACTCGGCTTGTGACCCTGATCAAGAATAATTTACTCTACGAGTAACGGGTATAAAAATTACTCTTTAAATTAGCAAAGTCGATATTATCCCATTTATTCTTGATTGCCAAAAATAACTGAAATAACCCCCAGGTAAAAAAATTAAAAACTTCATAAGCATTTTAACCAATTTCTCTTTATGTATTTGCAAATAGCTATTTTAATTTGAAATATACTTCTGTTGGATTATGAATGTACGAATTTGCATGGGAACCAGTGTAACAACGAAGTGGTCAGCGCTCATCGTAGAATTAGATGACATCGGATTATGAGGAGCGTAATAATACTCAACGGAGGAAGGAAAAACTCCGGAGCCGTCTTGATGGAACTTGAATCGCTTCATATCGATCAACTGCATATTTCCATCCAAAGTTGTTTCCCAAATCCGATCTCCACCCAAGGACTCAAAGAGGTGGTAGATGTTAAAGCTTACTACGTTCCCTTCTGTGTTAAAGTTCTCCACTCTGATCAATATTTGGTCCTTCGAATATTGTTCAAAAGAGAGAAGTTCGACCGACTGAGGAAAATCGCTGAAATCGGGAATCATGTGCCTATTCACAGAGGCGACGGCATTAGACTTGCTGAAAAATGTCCAAAAGTGTTGGTCCAACTCATGTTGTAGCAGTCGCTCTGCGTGATTTGGCTTCTCTGAGGCGTCGTCGAGAATGAAATAGATCTTTCCCCTTGCGATTAAACCAGTTCCGTACTGAGTCTCATTTAGGGCTTCGCCGACTCCAAAGGCGTCGTCACTTAAGAGGCGACGATGCAGCATCAGCTCCAGTTCCCCGTCCTTCAAGCTGGCTCCTCCTTGCGCCCGATCGTTTAGCAGGGTGATTCGCTTTTCGTCGTCTTGTAAAGAAATTTGCCCGGTTACTGGGTAGTAGTTTCCGCTTATGGATTCCGACATATCGGGGTCAAAGTGCTCACGTTGGTTTCTCTCACGTTCTAGCATTTCCCGGCCATTGGAGTCGGTATAAAACTTGCCTTCAGAGGATATGTTGGTCGAGAAGCGGGTTATTATCTCTTTTCCCATTTCATCGTCCGTCGGAATCGGACCGACCAACCATTCGAACTCCACGCGATTTACTCCGTCGTAAATGCGGATTACCTGGGAAATCCACTCGTTCACATGTTGATGGACTTCTTTAACTCTGGTGCCATTATAGAACGATAGTTTGTTATTACTCAGAACTTCAATTTCTCCGTCCGGTCGGAAAACGTAGGCACCGGAGGATCGGTTGTTGGATTCACCATTATTGCCTCGGAATCCCTTGTATATTGCAAAGCTTTGTTGAACATTCTCGGTTACGCCGTTCATTTCAATGGTTTTTAAGGTACCCGTAATGGTATCAAAAGTAAGTTTGACGAGCTGAAATGTGCAAGTTAAAGTTAATACTTTTATATTGAAAGATAATAATACACCTACCGAATTTTCCACTCTCAATTCATCGTTTTCATCCTGGATTTTTTCTATGGGGAAATGCATATTGTTTTGTGCCATATTTTTCGGGGATGGCAGTACGCGAATTAAGAAGTTGGCAATTTTCTCAACACTGGCTTTAAAGACCAACTCGTGTTGCGTGCCATTCGATCGATGTTCCAGAGCCAAGACTTGCCAGGGAACGGGAATTACTTCCGACGGCACTTCACGACCTATTTAAAATGATTCAAAGTATACGGTAGTTCCTTAAATTAATTATAATATCGTACCCTTTTCATCTGTAACTATATAGTTTTCGTTCTTCACTGGAACGCGAACATATTGCGTTGATTTATGAGTCAAAGAATTCACTAGGGTCACAACCACATTGTTGGCAGTGTTCTGGGTGAAGGCACAAGCACTGATATTCAGTTCCAGGCAACTTTCGAATTCCCCCGAAGTCAAGTTGGTTAGAGATCGGAGGGCATCCCGAGCATTATTTTCGGCACCAACGATCGCCTTGTACAGCATTCGGTCGTAATCACGGGCCACAGCCTGTTTTTCGGTACCCGTCACAGCATCATGATGCTGCATTATTCCCATCGCCTGGCTCAGAGTTTCCAGATCTTCCGAGTGTTGAGTGCCGGTCAAATTGGCCAAAACGCTCAGTTGCTTGACTGTCTGGAAGAAGTGATTTCCGTCCCGGTGAAAGCGCTTCTGAGTTGGACGGGAGGTGAAATATCCTGTCCAATAGGAGTGGGAGTCGCTGGAGTACGGAAAGAAGTCCTCCGTTTTGTTTGGCCAAGTTTGCTCCAATTGGTGCAGTTCGTAAAGATAGCAGGACGGCGTTGAGTAAAACACGTTGACTTGTGATCCCCCCGATTGGCGATCGTTGACGTACCTGATTGGAATTAGCATTATCGCAGATAAGAAAGGAAATACCTAATGCTTTTATATGTCTTATCACCTACTTAATAAGTTTGTCCATATTTTTGAAATTTACAGCCGCGTCTTCGTACTGAAAATCATCTCCCATGGGAACCATTATGTGAGTGGATCGGAAGGACCTAGACATCATCTTAACATAGTCGATAAAGTCAGTGACTCTTTGGTCAACGTTATTGTCATAGCTCTCGCCATCGATGATTGGTGCATCTTCGCAATTGATATCGAAGCAAAATCCCGGAGGAGAGGAGTAGTGATTGTATAGCATTCCAGTAAAAATGTTTGAGTTCTTTAGGTATTCGCTTGATTGCCAAATCATCTCCATTTCAAGGTCTTCCAGGCGTTTCTTCTTATCAACATAATCCATGCGTGCGAAAAATTGCCCATTGTATCCCATTTGTGCAAATATTGAGGCCTGTTCTCGGGAGTGACCAAATGGATCGATCTGCCAGCCAATTGTTGGACGTCCACAGTCGCCGAAGGTGTCTTTTAAGTATCTGTAATTGTGTTGCATAAGAATATATTTATATTTCCATTAGTTGAACAGGAGTACTCACTTCAGGCCCAATTTAAATTGATCTATTACACTTTGATAGTGAACTGTGGCCTCATCGTTCATACTCCAGCCTCCTCCGGTGAATTCCAAGCGTCCTTCGGCCACCAACTTTTGCACAGCTCGCTGAACCGTTTCGGTCTGTTCGGAGTACCACTTCGAAAAGAAGAACGTTTCCACCTGAATGAAACGCCGTTTCGAGTCCTTCAGGAGCTCCTCAACCACTGTATCCAAAATGTACTGGACTCCGGCGTGCTGAATCCTATTCTGACTTCCGTAGTAATATTGATCAACCGTCTTCAGCCAACCGACGTCGTCGTGCGAATGGGGGACCAAATGCACATTGATCATGTTTAGTTTCGTGCTGGGGCATGCCTGCAATCAATATATGAGATTTCAAATTGGAAAACACTTTGGTTTAAAATCACAGAACGCAACTACTTCAAAAGTCGTTACCTTAAACCCACAGGTCTTCTCGGATATCGCTGTATTCACTAAAAAGAGGGTGATAAACAGCAGTACACTACTGAAATATTCCATTTCGGTGAACGCTAAGCTCCACGGAGGGGTCTTATCGGGGCGGTTGAGTCGAATAAAATGAAACGAGAAATGAGGCAACTCCTTAGACCCCAGCAATGTGCCACTTGAGGCGATAAACCTTGTACTGCGATCGCATTAACTTGAGTGGGTTTATGAAATTAAAATCCATTTAAGAGCTCTGGCGATACCAATTTACAACACTGTACACTAGGGTGTAGATAGATTGCATTGTATATGTACTCAGTTGACTTTTATCAATAAACCTTCGTTTACTTTCGCAAACATAAAATTCTATATTCGAATGAACTTCAAGTTCGGGGCTTATCAATTTTCAAAGCGAGCATATGCCGTACATATTTGTATTTGTTTATGTTTGAGTTCTAGTCAACGACTTCTGTATTTTGCATTAAAATTCTTATCTCTGTTGCAATCATTTCAAGTAATTAATTATTCAGATTAAGAAAGGAAATCGAATGGCTTTATGGATTTGTACTTAAATAAGTGGTATATAAGCCCGCGCTGTTGTAAACAAAAAACTTTTCCTTATTTTTATTACCAGCTCTTGAAGACCACAAGCGTGCTATTCAGCAAGATAACTGTCATTGGTTTACTTATAGAAGTGATGCAAATGTGGTTTCCTCTACGAATGCTATTATTAATCAGCTGTACTAATTTTTAATGTATCCTTGCTATTTACGTCCACTGATTGTTTATAAGCATGTGTGTATAAGTCTTATACTATAAGATACAAGTGTTCATCCACAAGCAATTATTTGAACATTTTTTATGTAATCTGCCAAAAGAATGCCTTCGGTTTAATTGAACAGCTATGTTTGTAATGAGCCAAAAGAATGCTTTCGATTTAATTGAACAGCTATTTACGAAATTAAAATATGGAGGTCAATCCATCCCCTGCTGCTGCACGTATTTTAGAAGAAGCGAATAGACTTTATAGCCTAAGGTAATATTAAGACTTCCGGCCATTAGTATGTAAACATTTTTTACATATTTGTAATGTATACATTAATTTGTAAATATTGGTACTTAAGTCTGCTCTAAATAATTTTGTAGCTGTTAGCTTTGTTAATTACATTTTAATTTACGTTTATAGCTTTGTTATAAGCAGTTAAGCCGAGTTGCTAGGCTATAGTAGAGGTGGAATATATGTATAGAAATTTACTTTTACCAGCGGAAGAACTAATCAGGAAACTTAATCTTACTCCTCAAAACTTTTTTACAATTCGGGATTATAATGTAATATCCCTTTTACCACAGTTTTTTTAGGTTCAGATACTCACATTCAGAAAAGCATACTTTTTTGCTATGAAGAGTTTTTTAGCCCTTTACAAATTTATAAATAGACTCAAGATAACTTTAGGAATCCGTTAATCTCGGAATTTCCCCAGGTATGTTATCAAAGTATTCAGGGTTATCAATCCTCTATCAATCATCTCCCGTTACTAGATTATTTTCCATCTTCTGATGTTGAACTTGTCAGCATAAACATAATCTTATATCATTTACTAAAGGAAGTCTCAAAATATAGGTTAATACTGGGTAACTATAGTCCCAAACAGTTGAACTTTATATTATTACCTCCTGTTTTTGAAGTGTACCACTCCAGACCCTTTTTCGAGTTGTCGATAGTAACGATGATTACTTCAATGCCATCATAAATGCATTTGTGTGTGATCGGTCTTCAGAAACCAATTAACCACTTGACTAATTTAAAGTGTGGAAACGATTAAATGGATCAAGCTAAAGTCACTATAGCAATCTTCGAAGGAATACTCTAAAACGCGCATGTACAAATTTTATACGGCCCTATCAGTATATTCCAAGCACTGTACCCGGCGAATTCGTACATACCTACAAACGTTCCCAAGTACAAGTACACATATGTAGGAATACTTGCTCACTTTCTCAATGTTCGTATGTAGAAAGCAATAAAGAATTATTCTCAAGTAGGTCTCGAGCTGAGTTTGCGGTCTCTGGCTGAGCAGTCCGCTTTGAGAAGCCGATGCGATCGGTTGGGACGGTACCTTTTTCGGGAGCCCAAGTGACTTTCAGAGTCTGTGTGTGTATATGATAAAAACTGGCAAAGTGTACGCTGTGAAAATCAAGTAATTGAATGCAAACACCCTAAACGTAAATAATATATCAAAACTGCAATGTCCGCAAAGACTTCTGTGTGGCTTGCATTCTTTTGCGCCCTTGGCTGCCTAATTCATGATGTCGATTTACGGAATATCCAACCAAAGGCATCACAGTGCGGCTATCAGGTAAGTCGAAATTCTGGTTCTAGGAAATACGACCTCTAATGGTAACATGTTGCTTGTTATTGGGCCTTTCGTATACAGAAAATTCCTCCAGGCCGGCTTTAAAATGAGAGATTGAAACTGATTACAGTTATTTGTGAATTTAAGTGTATACTAGTTTGTACATTTTAAGCCGGCAATCTGCCTCACCTCCTCATTATCAACATTATTTACGTTTCATACTTTTTATTTTTATAAATTTTGCAATATAAACACAGACCTGTTTAAATTTTCATTGATAAGAGAGAAGAAAATCAATCAAAAGCGACAGGGAAAAAAGTTTTTATTTGATTTTTATAGCTTATATGTACATATAGTTCTGAAGCTCTTAAGATTTCAGAGAGATTAGCTATGACCAATATTGTTTTCTATATAAAATTTTTATTTTATATTATTTATTTATTTAGTCACAAACCTGGTTATTTCTGTTGGAGAAACAAAATTATTGACTTATCATGTCTCTAAGATATTATATATTAAACATTTTTGCTCCTGTTATGTAACACTATTGAAACTCACAGCCGAAAAGGATCTTTCTCCAGATATAAAGAATATACTTCTTAAAAACCTTCTTTAATCCACAATTATTAAAACTTCAGAGCTGCCATGCAACGAAACCGAATATGTTGAACGTTCATCTAGTGGCCCACACACATGATGATGTCGGATGGCTGAAAACCGTTGACCAATATTACTATGGCAGCGAAACTAGGATTCAGAAAGCTGGAGTGCAATACATAATCGATTCGGTTGTGGAGGCCTTGCTGAGGGATCCCGAGAAACGATTCATATATGTTGAGTCCGCCTTCTTCTTCAAATGGTGGAAGGAGCAGACTACCAAAGTCCAGGATGCGGTAAAGATGTTGGTGGAACAAGGTAGACTCGAGTTCATTGGCGGCGCTTGGAGCATGAATGACGAGGCCACCACGCACTACCAAAGTGTGATTGATCAATTTTCTTGGGGATTGAGGTGCGTTTGAGTCAAAATCATCCAGTGGTAAATACCATTAACCAAGTAATATAATTGCAGACTTTTGAACGATACCTTCGGAGAGTGCGGACGTCCGCGAGTTGGATGGCAAATAGATCCCTTCGGTCACTCCAGGGAAATGGCCTCTATGTTCGCGCAAATGGGTTTCGATGGTATGTTCTTCGGACGATTGGACTACCAAGATAAGGACGATCGTCTCATGACCAAAAATGCCGAAATGATATGGCACGGATCTGCCAATCTGGGTAAGTAGCCCTTAATCTTATCTTGAATTTCATAACTAATCGGAATTTTTAGGAGAGGAATCGGATCTGTTCAGTGGCGCTCTGTATAATAACTACCAGGCACCAGATGGTTTCTGTTTCGATATTCTATGCAGCGATGCCCCCATAATTGATGGCAAACACAGCCCCGATAATAATGTTAAAGAGCGCGTAAGAACTGATACCATATGCTGTGTTTTTAGTGTTTTGCTTCTGGCATTGGTTAAGCGTTTGTTTTGTCTTCCATATGTGTCCCTCATCACATTAGATCGATACGTTTTTGGATTTCGCCAAGACCCAGTCCCAATATTACCGCACCAACAATGTCATTATCACAATGGGTGGTGACTTTACATACCAGGCTGCCCAGGTCTACTATAAGAACCTTGACAAACTGATACGGTAATAATGTCATGTCCTCGCCAAGCTAACTGTTAAAGAAAGCCCCGAAATTCAAAATTGTCCTGTCCAAAAGTAACCAAAATGTGCCGTCGTCCTCATCAAAACACCAGTTAATTGAATGCCATACGTATGTGTGAAAAACAGGTGGACACCTTCTTGGAGTATGTTACGAAAATGTCCGAACATTTCCGCACTCCCAACGTGATCCTTACCATGGGTGAGGATTTCCACTACCAAAACGCCGATATGTGGTACAAGAATCTGGACAAACTGATTAAGTAAGTAGGGGCTTTCCTTGACAGAGTTTAGCGGAAAGCAAGGGGTAAATGGTACTATATAGCACGCGTCTTTACCGCCTCACAGGTATGCCAATGAGCGTCAGGCGAATGGTTCGAACATAAACCTACTCTACTCGACCCCGTCGTGCTATCTGAAATCGCTGCACGATGCTGGCATTACTTGGCCCACCAAGAGCGATGACTTCTTCCCATACGCCTCCGATCCCCATGCCTACTGGACGGGCTACTTCACCTCGCGTCCCACTTTGAAGCGCTTCGAGCGGGACGGCAATCATTTCCTGCAAGTCTGCAAGCAGCTTAGCGCCCTGGCCCCCAACAAACCGGAAGAATTCGCTCCCCACCTGACCTTCATGCGCGAGACCCTCGGGATAATGCAGCACCACGATGCCATCACTGGAACGGAGAAGGAGAAGGTTGCTCTGGACTATGCCAAGCGGATGAGCGTGGCCTTCAGGGCCTGCGGTGCTACCACTCGAAATGTGCTGAATCAATTGACGGTGAAGTCGAGGGAGAATGTCAAGGATACGTCGGCCAAATATGTGTTTGAGTTCAAGACCTGCCCGTTGCTGAACATCACCTCCTGTCCCGTTTCCGAGGTGAACGACCGATTCACGCTAACTCTTTACAATCCCCTAGCGCACACTGTCAATGAGTATGTGAGGATTCCCGTAGCAGATCCCAGTTACAAGATCATCGATAACAAGGGTATAATATAATAAAATAAATATTTAGGGCTATAGATAACATTCCCTATTTTCAGGTGTGACTTTGGAAACTCAAGCTGTACCAATCCCACAAACACTAATCGACATTAAGCACAGAAGTTCTACGGCCAAATATGAACTAGTTTTCCTGGCCACCAACATTCCTCCTCTGGGTTACCGAACGTACTATGTTGAAAAACTAGACAGCACTGAAGGTAGAACAAAGACAAGGGCTTTGCCGAAGAGCACTTCCAGCGTTACAGTAATTGGTAACAGTGTAAGTTATCTGATTATGTGGAATCTATAAACAAACCTATATAATTATTATTTACAGCACATTAAACTTGGCTTCGACACCAATGGTTTCCTCTCCGAAGTAACTGCTGACGGTCTAACCAGATTGGTCAGCCAGGAGTTTTTGTTCTACGAAGGTGCCGTTGGAAATAATGCCGAATTCCTGAATAGATCATCTGGGGCCTACATCTTCCGACCCAACGAAAACAAGATTCACTTTGCCACCGACCAGGTGGAAATTGAAGTGTACAAGGGCGATTTAGTACACGAGGTCCATCAGAAGTTCAACGATTGGATTAGCCAGGTGGTGAGGGTCTACAACAAGGACTCCTATGCGGAGTTCGAGTGGTTGGTTGGACCCATTCCCATCGACGATGGCATCGGCAAGGAAGTCATTACTCGCTTTAACTCCGATATTGAGTCAGAGGGCATTTTCCATACCGATTCCAATGGTAAAGTTGAAGGATCTTTCTCTTTAATATATGTTTAAAATATATTGCTCTTTTAACAGGTCGCGAAATGATTAAGAGGAAACTTAACCACCGTGATACGTGGAGCGTGAAAATCAACGAGGAAGTGGCTGGCAATTACTACCCCATTACGACCAAAATAGATCTGGAGGACGATACTGCCCGCATGGCCATTCTGACTGACAGAGCCCAGGGAGGTAGCTCCTTGAAGGATGGATCCCTGGAACTGATGGTTCACCGTCGCCTACTGAAGGACGATGCCTTTGGTGTGGGCGAGGCTCTGAATGAAACTGAGTTTGGAGATGGTCTGATTGCTAGGGGCAAGCACCATCTGTTCTTTGGAAAGTCCACTGACCGCGAAGGTGTTTCCCTCAAGGCAATTGAGAGACTAACCCAACTGGAGAAACTGCTGCCCACGTGGAAATTCTTTAGCAACATGGAGGCCTACACTGCCGATGAATGGCAGACGGCCTTTACCAATACTGTAAGTAGCACCGACACTTTACTAATTATTTTATTTTAGTCTAATCAACTATTGATCACAGTTCACGGGAATTTCATTGGTCCTGCCTAAACCCGTAAATCTTCTTACCCTGGAACCTTGGCACGAGAACCAACTCCTGGTGCGATTCGAGCATATAATGGAGAACGGAGAGGATGCTTCGTACTCCAAGCCCGTGCAGTTCAATGTTAAGAACGTCCTAAGTGCCTTTGATATCGAGGGTATCCGGGAGACAACTCTGGATGGTAATGCCTGGTTGGACGAAGCTCGACGACTGCAATTCGTCCCAGATCCCGAGCAAGCCGCATTTAACACATATGCCACATTCTCCCAACCGGCTGAGTCCGTTCACCTCCTAAGTGCCGAGAAACCTATGCTGGGTGTTAAGTACGCAGAGGAAGCTCTGCCAGCCGGTCAACTGGGTGCCCAGAGTAACCGAATTAAGCGCGAAATTAATTCAGAACAGAATCCGGCTGAGGGTCGATCGTCCAAGTCAACGGAGGGTGCCTATAATTCCTTCAAGGCAGATAGTGACAATAAGGATTACATCATCGAAATAAGCCCAATGGAGATCCGTACATTCATAGTATACTTAACACCTGCTTAAGATTCTTATCTATATAAAGCAATAAAAATGTTTTCAATAAAATTAAATCAATATGTTATGTTTTTTAAGCACTACTTCTTTTCAGCTTGTGTCTCTAACTATGGCCCATTTTATTAGAGTGACGTTTATAAAATTTAAGACACTCAACCGTTACGCTTTTGTTTTAGAAGGCGAAACAATGTAGTTTTCAAGCGAAGAAAATCTTTTGTTCTTTAAGGTGGAGAAGGGCCCATACGCACTTGATTTATTTGTTTGAGTTGTCTTAAGTTTGTTGTATGAAATTGTGGTCAGAAATGAAGACCCATACCAGAGTACATTTTACCCATATCGTAGGAATGTAGTGCACACATGTGGGTTAACTTTTTTCATTATACTGCATTGGGGATGTGAGGCCGACTACTTTAGAGAGGGTCACACATAGGCAGATTTAAGTCCTCACTGAAATTGCAATGCGGATGTTTTAATATTTTTTGAGCATTCATATTTAATTAGGCTTAGAGCAAATTAAATTGCAGACCTTGGAATATTTAAAGATGGGAGTCATACTTACTTAGTTAAATATAAATGTGAGGTTAATGAATTGGCGACACGGCTGCGAACATGAGGTGCACGGTACTAATACTTTTTCGTCCGTCTTTTTTTTCATTTTCCCAGTAGAACCATTTTCCCTTATACCCACGGAGCAAGGGTATATAAGGGTGTAAATGCCTGTATGTTTACCCTCTTTAATAAAAAATTCAACTATTAGTTTTGAAGGAGAAAGAAGTAGTAGAATGCAAAAGCGTATTTTAATGAAAAAAGTTGGAAAGTTAGCAGAGCAAAGGGGTAAGTCGTTTTGTTTTATTTGTTTTATTCTAGCTCGGTATGCGACTAGTGTTCTCATTTGCGGTGGTTTCAGCTTAACGAAAATATCAAATATCCTGTTAGTGTCAAATACTTACATTTAGCATTTTTTATATGAAAATTATCCATTATACTTCAATAAAAATAAATCAATATTCAAGCATTTTCTAAGAAACATTTGTAAAATTTTATTTATATCCACTTTTCAGTGTATGATCTTGCTTTACACTCATACAAACTAATTTCTATAAAGTTGTCTATTCCGATTATAATATAATATATTGCCTTTCACATATCATTAGTTCAGATAAGTGCATGTCTTGTATACATATAAATATACCTATTAATTTGTAATAAAAGCTTCGAATTTATTTGCACGTCTTTTCAGCTCTTGCATTAGCCTATTTGTGGTTGATTGTGAACTTTATAGGATTCTAGAATGCGTATATAATTTTACAATCGATCTAAACGCATTGTCTACGCCTTTGTGTACATAAATATTATTGTATAACGCATTAACTGAAGCGTACGCATGCTATCCAATCTTAAAGGCACATTTTTTAACTATGATATATATAATTTTGTTGATTTTGGTCTGTTTGGTTTCTAATAAACTTAGTATTGTGCGTACTCATACGGAGTCTAAGTGGTCCCAATCGTTGCGAGCCCAATTCGGTAGCTCCGTTTCATATTCCCATCCAGGGCCCTGAAAATATATAATAACCAGTTATTAATATCTTTACGAAGCACTATAGAAATGCAATCACAAACCTTGTACTTCCAAGCGTGCAGATACATTATAAGGTCCTTTGATTTCGGATCGCGATAGTGCACTTTGCACTCATAGCAATGCTCATCTACTGTGACCTTGTTAACGTTACATCCAACTCCACTCAATGGGCTCTCTATTGAATCCAGTAGAGCTGGGGAAATTTCCGTGGAAGACTTCTGTACACTAACTGGATACTCCTTGACTGAACTAGTGCGTTCCACACTTTTAACGCTATTTTCTGGCTGCTGGGCTTCAGTACATGGAGGTGTTGTTTCCCGCGAATTCACGCCTCCATCATCATCGCTGTGATGAACGACTGCAAAATATCATAAGATACAAAATTAGGAAATCAACGACAGAGGATATGGGTTTACCCACCGGAAGTGTGCTCACTGCTGAGACTTTCCCGATCTGCTTCGTCCTTGGTGGTCTTGAACATGGATATATCGGAATCACAGTCTATTCCCAGCCAGTTCTCAGCGTTGTGTATATTTATGAGATCTCGGATAAGCTCATCGTCTGACTTTCCACCGATATCGCCGGATCTTCCCTTTAGCGGACCGAAGACTTCGTGGTTGTAGAGTGGGTCGTTGAGAATAGGATAACCTTTGGGGAATATCATGTTGCTTTAGTACCAGGTCTAAAGATAAGAGTTTTTGAAGACCCCCTTACCTAGGTATTGCAAATGCACTCTTATCTGATGCATTCGTCCAGTAAGTGGCTTGCAAAGTACCACACTAGTGGTGCCATTTTGGGAAAGCTTTTGAAATGTCGTCGTACAATCTTTGCCCTTTGGAGATACTTTGCACACGCCAATCTTGTAGCTGACGACTTCAATGGGTTCCTTACACTCCACAACACCCCTGGAATTTATAATTTTTTGATTAAAGGATTTTCACAGTTTTTAAGACATAATTAATTTACTCTGGAAATACGCCCTCAACCCTGCAGATATATTCCTTTTCCACCTGTCTGTTCCGGATCTGCTGTTCCATTTGGCGGGCTTTTTTCGGACTACGTCCAAATAATAGAAGCCCTGATGTCAAGCGATCAAGTCGGTGAATTGTGCGTAGATTCTTGAGGTTGAACTCCTTGGCAAGTATGAAGACTACGGTGTTGTGCCTATAGCGTCCACATGGGTGTACCTGTAAAATAGCAGCACAGGAAACTCTTAGGGAACTCGAGTAAAAGCTAGGCATTAAAATCGACGAATACAGATGTTCAGGAAGTAGGTTTTTGACAGTGATAACATTAAAATACAGACTCAAGTAGAAGTATTTAACTATTTCTGTATTATATGTGTAAAATGGCAGTCGTTTAAGCCACTTACAGGTATCGATGCTGGCTTATTTACAACTACAATGTCCTCATCCATATGCACAATTTTAATTGGTTGACAAGTCACTGGAACTTCGTGTCTGTAAAGATAGCCATTAAACTCGGGTTAGTTTGATATATCATCTCCGTCGGTTGTTTCATTAGAGATCGGGAAGATTGCTTGAACTGGCTAAACGGATAACCTACTTTAACGAGGCCTTTAAACTATTCATGGCCTATTAAAACAAGATTCAATATATAGGTTAAGGGGGATAAGTATCTATAGCGGATATAGTGTCTTTTATGATATTGCTAAAAGCTAATGAGCATTTTTATTGTCATTTATTTAACAGTAAATGAAAGTGAAAGTCTATTAATGGTCTTACTTCATTTGGTTTAACTATGATTTGTGAATATGATATCTTGTGTCTGCAATGTTGTTACATTTCTTTTCAGAGCTTAAGTTAAATATTACAAAATCAGTAAAAACTTTGAAGAACGATACTTTAGATTAAGGAATCACTTATTGTCTATAGATTAATATTTGGGACAGTACAAGGTAAATCCTGTTGGCAAAAGGGCCATAATATATTTTTGCGATGCACTGGCATGCTGCGAGCGTTATTTTGTTTTATTGAGTGAAAACACATTTATAATAATAAGCAGAGTATGAAGAAATTACACGGAACACAATTGCAATCACTCGAATCTGTTTACTGGCAATTTGTGTGCAATTTGTAAAATGAAAAAGGCATGAAGCTTTGATTACCTGTGAACAATATTAGCCAGTAGATCGTTATGTTTCAGCCGGTAGTCAATGGGTACCTTCTCGAAATTCACTGTCAACGTGCCTGTTTGGATACATCGCTCGTATTCCTCGGCAGGATGTGCTCGGAACTCCCGAGAGAATATATCCAAAATCTTTTCGCCCACCCAGCGGCCTTTTGTGAAGGTTGTGAATGTGAAGTAGTATGGGTATACCTTGCGAAGGCCTATTTATAAATGCATTATTTACAACAATTCTAATGGGGTACCCAAAATGGCTCACCGTTTTCCATATAGTAGGAAGTTTCTTGATATCTTTCATCCGTAAATCCCGGTCTCTTAGCCTTTAATGCTTTTGTCTCAAGCTTAGCCTAGAATAAAAATGTATTTAAGGTTTTAATTATTAAAAACCTATGATAAACTGAGAACATAAATGTGAATGCTTTAAAGATTACTCTCACTTACTTTTTTTAGTTCTTTTATTTGATCATTATCATCTGTTTTCCGCTTTTCTGGTATTTTAATTTTTATATTCTCGGAGTCTCTGGGAGAAGTAGTCTGAAAGATACACAAATAATGAATTTAATGTTAGTGTAATACTATAAAGTAATAAATAAATGGAAAGGATATTCGAATAAAGATATTTTAAGCAATGTACTCAAATAACATTGAAAGAAAATCGTATAGTTTGGCCTTAGATTCCTAATCTGATCAACCGCAATATCAGCCCAAATCTATTTTCACCTTCTTCTCCTGTTCTCAAGTATTAATTTGTTTGTTCTTCCCCCATTAATCTTTGAAAGGCCCATACCATTTGGGTCAAAGTGAGATGTTTTGGGTGAGCAAGTCGGCAAGACTTGGGTTACATTATGCATTATATTACGTAAGTTCATACAGATACCTAAATATTGTTCTAAGAACACATATATTTATAAACAGTTTGGGATATGTACTTGGCTTCGACGCTTATATGTCTGGTGCCTTCACAGAGCTACTATTGGCTGACGTTTGTCTTTTATGCGCGGTACTCGAAGGCAAAAAAGTATATTGAATAATTTTAGTGGAATGATACAGATTTGGGGAAGCATAATTGACCTTGCTATGTCCGTATTTAAAGAAAACAAACCAAGCAGATTGAACAACTTGAAATCCCCTAATGATTTATATACATTTTTAAAATATTTTTAGGATAAACTACTTGATCTATTGAGCAAAGTAATCAATCGAAATTCTCAAATAATGATTGTTTAGCTATTGGCCTTTTGAGAAACCAATTTAAAGTAAAAGCCCCCTCAAAAGGGGAATCTATTTCAAGTACCCGGTATCGGCTAGTCGTATTACTCCATTATGGCGTTCCTCTGCTCGCTGCTTTCCTTGGCAGTGCGCCCAACGGGCGATGGAAACATGTTGCATGCCCATGCCCAAAAAGTCGCGCGGGAGAGCTACGGACCACGGGAGATACCGAACCATGAGATGAGATGAGTTGCCGTCCGGCACAGCTTCGATTCTCAGCGAAATCCCCCAAGTTACAATGGGTCTAAAACGCGTGGATACACATATGCATGACCGTGTACATATTTGAAAAAGAGTCTCAACCTAGAACAATGCACAGAAGATACACTCGAAATATATGAATACGTTTTAAATTTAGATCATTATGAACAGCCGAATATATACTAGCGCCGCTGTACTAACCCAAAATACACCTCAAATTATCGTGAAAGCTAACTGCAAGTATTTTCGGCTATGTTTATGATACCCAATATACCCAGATTTCTGTTGAAACTTTAAAAATCATAACATGTCAAACAATTGATTTGTTTCAGTTTTGATTTCAGACCCCATTTCCTTTCTTGGAAATTTAATGCACTTCTCAAGGTACAAGATCGTATTTCTAATTTATTAACGGAAGCTATCTGAATATCCTAGGAAATGAAACGTACTGTTTACTATTCCTTCAGTTTGTTACATACATATTATAACAGAATTTAAGCGTACATCTTGTACGTCATCTCAGTGCAGCTCATCTCGTTTTCCGGTTAAAATAAAGTAGGTAAGATACGATTTGGATCCGCAAAATTCAGTCTTTATGTTCATCTCGTAATTGCCACTTTTGATTCAACGGATGGTGGAGATCAACTTAAGATGAGACTAGCAGATAATTGTTTATTTTCGTTTAATTTTGAGGTAAACACCTGCTAGCAACGAGTTTGAGTTTATACAAGGCAACTAAACTCATATACAAACACGCCAGCAGTAAATATTTGTTAGGACTACATTAGTGCATGTCCTCCACTAAAAATAAATCAGCTTTGATTGACATAACATTTAAAACACATCAACTAATAAAAACTATGACCCATTCGGTTTTCTTTTTGTTTTTCAACGCGCACAGCTCAAAGTCGAAATATTCGCCCTTTTGTTTTTTTTAAATGTGGGTGAGAAATCTGACTGTGGTCTCCCGAAATTCTGGAACCAAAATTAGTTCCGTCAGATTTTATCGGACAGAAAATGCGTTTGTATTGCCCAATTACCGGTGATGATTTCCATTGAACACAAATGAATGAAGACCTCCTACACGCTTTTTACGTCTACTCATCCATGAGAGCTGAGTATAAACGAAGATGATCAATTAATTGAATCATTCAACAGCGGAGACCTGTTGCCAGCGATCTTGGCGTACGGCGGTCCCCATCCCACATGGCATTTTCACAGAGACACGATCATCGCAAATGTATTAAAAGTTCTATAAATATATAGGTAGACATCTGCATATATTCATGAGCATATAAGTATCTATATGTGCATAATGCAAATCCAATTATACTCGACCGCGTGGAGTTCAGAGTATATTGGTTTTCCCCAAAACAATCATGAAAATCGTCTTTCGAAACCTATTTCTATTTCTTTGGAAACCCGTTTTGAAAATGTGTGCCTGAACCCTGGAATCCGGTTCATATTGGCTGCAATTCCAAGGTGACTCCGAGGTATTTTCTGGTCGAGAAATCTATGCGAAATATATTTTTTCCTTTTGATATCATTTGGTTGCGAATGCCGGCTGATGCCGGCTGCGTGGTGCCAGAAAACGGTGTCTCATTCTAGCACCCGGAATATATTTATGAGTCCGCCCACCCCAAGGCTGTTCATGGAGAAGAGGAAGAGGCGGACGGGACGAAGTACAAATCGCGGTCGGCACGCTTTTATCGCCTGCACACCAATATGTTGCGCAAGGTGCGAGCAGACCGGCGGATGTCAGCCCCCGTCTGGAAAACTGAAGAGAACAGAAAACTAAAAACTACACGTGACCACTACCCACGGCTTTATTAATTATCAATTTTCAAGAGCACTCGTTATAGAATGTTTCTTTCCCGCTCGGTAATCGCCGATCCTTATTTATAATCAATTTTAAGCAGCGTTTACTAAGATTATTACGTATTTTATACACATATAAATTTTGTTATTTACACTATATGCTCATACTTTTGTAAACAACAAAATTCTATTATAACTCAAAACCACGTCATTCACATATGTATATGTGAAATGAACCTGAGATACCTGGATCTTCTAGAAAAACAACAACTGTAAAAAGAAAATTGAAAGACGTTTGAAAATTTTTACGGTTGCCAAGTTAACTGGTTTCTTAATATTACAAAAAAAAATGTTTTTTTTTATAAATAAATATAAATATTAAGTATGCTAGGTATAGTAGTTGTCCGAAGAGGTCTACTTTAAATTCTCCACCCATTTAGTAAGAATGTGATATGCCAACTCAAAACGACTTGACATCAATTCTTACACATTCGAAGAATTGTGGCAGTGTACTTGTGCTTGCAATTAAAATATCTAAGCGATTTATATAGGCTTTAACTGTAGACCTCAGCCAGTTTTTGATTGGGAAACTAGATTGAAGTAAGTAGGTTCATTCCAAATACGGCAAGTGGTTGACGAATGCATTTAACTGGCCAAGAGTAGGATTTTAGACGAGCAGGTTGCAGTCCAGTGACATTCTACTCAAGCTGTCCAGTAACGGTGCTTCTCGGCTACTTAGCCATAAATGATACGATTTTACCGTTCCTAGCTGCTGCGAAAGCTTTTTCACAAACCCAAGATCAAAAGCAGAAATTCTATACATCGAGCATCCGCATTAGAGGCGAACTCAGACATTTTCAAGGGGACTTTCAGTTATTATTAATAAAAAATATATATTTTTTTGGAATATGATTTTTTAATATATTGAGGATTAAGATCATAAAAGCTTTAATGAATTTATGTATGTAGGTAGATCCAAGGTGGATTAAGCGAACACCTTTCGGAGAATATTAATGGGTATACAGTTTGTTTACATCGAAAGAATAAACAAATTGGTGTGGAATGAAATTTATCATAAAATGGAGGTATCTTAACCCCTTGAACCCCTGGAATCATCTGTGACTCGCTGCCTATTTACAAACGTGAGTTGTTATGTGCCTTCAGATGCAACTCACTTGATTTTCAGGGTCGTACGCTTGCAAGTGTAAAGTTATAGACATTGCGCTGTGTAAATTACCTATGTGCATTAAACAATGGAAAACATCTCGGAGCTGCTACTAGTATGTTTGGAGTAAGGCTATAACGGAGACCTTGACCAACTCAGTCCGCGGGCTGCCCGCTCACCATTTGGCTTATGAAATCATCGGGTTTCAAAAGATAGCCACCGAGGCACTGCAAACAGCGGCTAAGTAATAGGTATATTATAAAGCGGCGTTAGCGATGCGGAAAATCTGAAAGCCAAATGTAACTAGCCTCAAAAACAAACACCGATTGAGAAGATTTTATTGTAAAATAATGCAGTCCGTTGGGCAAACACTCGACAAGAAACTTTCAAATGTGAAATAATTTGTTATTAATTTTGACATAGCCGTCGGTATAAATTGTGCAACACCTTGTTATGGAGTAACATCAACAGTTGAAGACCAATTAGTGGTGGTTTAGTTTTTATTTGTTCACTTGCGGAATTACATTTTAATAGCGCTTTATAGAAAGGAAATCGAATGTACTTTGAGCGTTATTGCTATTTGGCAACCAAGTTTATTTACACATTCAATTGTTTTATTTGATAAACCCATGACAGCATTAGCCTAAGCAAAAATAGAAACAGTACATAAGCCGGAACGAACCGACAACTATTTCTTATAGCCCCCAAAGAAATGATCCGAAAAATAATTTTTAAAAACGGGAAAAAAAATTATAGGGTTGGTGTTTTTTGACTCTAGGGAATATAATTTCTTTTAATATTTCGGAATTTTGAAATTATTGGACGACTAATCAAAAAGCTGGAAAATAAACTAAAAGTAATAGCGAAATAAAAAAAGTGTTGCTATTATTTATTATTATTATTTTTGATATTTCAAAACTCCGAATTTATATTTTATAAAATTTTATAACTTTATAAAATTTGGATAAAACAAATTTGTTAAATGCAATTATTCAGAAATCGATTAGTTTTTCACTGCCTCGTGAATATATATACAAGTATATAGCTTCCGCTTGCCCAATAAGCTTATTTTCTTGTTGCTTATAATGGTACTAAATGGCCGTGTTGACGAAATATCCCAGCTTAATCGCCGCAATTGATTTATTTTCTTTGAATTTCAAATCAAATTAAGTAAATATTCTAAAGTGTTTGTTTTTAGCTATTGTGTTTTAAACGCAGCTCTTTCCTCAGTACACCCAAAGACGTAACTTAAGTGCTAGCCTTCGTTTGAAGTACGAATAGTGCCTATCATTACAAGTACTAAGCAAACGCAGCTCACCTTTTTATTGATCGGCACCTCGGCACTTGGCAAGACCTGGATGGCTGAGAGCGAGGACGCTGGGCTCCGCAGCAGGTTGAGATTGATGGACGACAGGTGATTCAGTTCCTGGTGGGGCAGGCAGTTGAGTGGCTGGACCATGGAGCAGGCGGAAGGATTGGGCCGCGGGGCCATCTGCACGGGCACCTGAGCAGGTGCTGTGTGTGGCTGAGTGGCCAGGTGGCTGCCAGGTGCTCCTCCGGTGGCTGCCAACAGGGATTGCTGGGCAGCCGGGGTCAGGGGAACCCCAACGCCTCCGAAGGCCGAGTGACCTCCACCGGCGGCCGGGGCATAGTAGGCTCCCAGGGGAAGGGAGGAGAACATGGCGGGGTGCATCAAGTGGGACTGGTTGGCCAGAGCACTCTGGTTCAGCTGCCCGGCATTCAGGAGCTGGGGGGCCAGGTGGTTGTACGGCGATCCCATGTGGAAGTGGGCTCCTGGGGCGGCACTCGGATGCAGAGCCGGCTGCTGGTAGTTCGCCGGAGGAGCTGCCGCCGTGTTGGGCGACAGTTGCTGCTGCATCTGCGGCTGGGCTGCAAAGATCCCGCCCACCGAGGCGGCCCCCATCTTGTCCAGAAACGGCGACTGCATCTGCAGCATCTTCTGCTGGTGCTGCTGCTGGGCGGCCAGGGACCAGGGCAAATACCAGGCACACGGAGCCGGGGAGTTCTGCATTGTGGTGGCGCTCCTTTAGTAGTTAACTTTCCAAGACGAAACTGCAGATTGGATTGGGTTTTCGAAAATTACATTAATTACGATTGGGTAACACACGGATCCATTCCCGAGTTATACGATCGTCTGTTTACTTTCATTTCGCAGTTCATTTTCGAGTCCACACTACGGCATTAAAGCTTTTAAAGTCAATTACAAATCGATGTGTACGTGTTTACAAATTGTCTCTACAGCTAGATGCTGTTTCGACTGTTTTATTTGAAAATTCAAACCGATTTTAAGGTTGTATAATGCGAATTAAAAATCTAAACAAAATGATTATTTATTTTTTTTAGTGTTTATGAACACCTTCCTATATCTATGGCTATAAAAGTGGGATATTAGCTCCGGCCCATGCGTTAATTTGTGGTTCCTATTAGCAGATTGCCGTTAACAAATTCCCCATCGCACACAAAAAAGTCGGAACAATATGTTGATTAGTTTTGCACTGCATTAACTTTGTCTATAAGGCGATCATGTGCTACAACGATCAATATATTATATCTTAGAAAAAGGTACCTAGTATTCGTATTCGCTATAAGGGGTAAATGGTTCAGCTGCTGAACCACAAAGAGTTTTTTAAAAGAGTTCACGATTTCATTCCAAAGCCAAACGATTACTGGAACATTGAAAATACATTTAGAATACATGCTGGGGCCATCTGCTTTTTTCGACTCTAATTGCACGAGACAAAGTCTAATATATCCCCTAAAATACGTATAAACCTAATTTCAGACGTGAACATGCGTCCGTCAGATTTTTGCCAAGAAAAAGAAGAAATGCGTATGCGTGCCTATGTGTCGGGGTGGATGAATGTGTAATGGAATAATACGTATACGACACAACGCATTAGGATATCGGCTCTCGGTATAATGTTCGGAAAGCATCAAAATCAGGTATATACAGACGAACCACCTACTGAGACAAATGGCACAAATGCGCACGTGTAAACATTTTTATTTACGCTAGGAGCTTGTGCTAAATTAAGTTTTGTGTATTACTAGGTCTGCTTCTGCTTCGACAAGATACCAGAAAATTGTTCAAAATTTTCAGTTCCTTAATACGCAAGAATGTACATAAACACACAGATATAGCCTCACTCATTTTTGTCATCACTCTTCTTTGTCTTTTGTCTTAGTTCCATTTTATCAACCACAATTGTATATCTTGCGAGTGGTTTTAGTACATTTTTCAAACCAAATTCTTGCATAACTATATTATGTAGACAATGGGAGGAAAGAATTTTTAAAATAAAATGAACATATATACGCGCGTCGGAACGTTCATGTGTAAGATCCCCAGATCTCGAAATCAGCAGGATGACAATAGATCATGGGCTTAAAAGCAAGAACAAAATTTTAGTGAGAGCTACCTTCTATATTTAAAAGAAAAAGAAAATATATATGCCAAAGTGTGCGCCAGCAGAAGGTGTCGGGGCAAAGTAAATTCAATTCAGAACTGTTAGTAAAAATATTGAAACGGCTCAAGGAATTTCATGGACCACAACAGAATATTTTTAATGGACCGTTTTGCGAGTCGACGGAGAATATTATAAGTTATGGTATTCCCTCCAATAACCGTATAATACGATGTCTCTGTGGCGATCAATGAATCCATCGGAGCATATGTTCTATTATAATAAGTGACTAAAACATTTCATTTAAATTTCCATGATTCCAAAGTGCCCATAAAATAGTCTTTTGATGAAAAATCGGTCTATAGGCGGTTATGGCAAATTATCATTTCAATTATGTGAATGTTTAGTCATCTGCTCTCCTTGGCCGATAAAATGTCGGCTCCTTTGATCATTTGCAACATATAGCTGTTAAGTTGTTCATGTTATTTGGAAAACCAGAAAATATGTTTTGGTTTTTAGTCGAGTTTTCTTTTAGTTTCAAAAAATATTTAAATCGTCACTTGCACATTGATTTGTTTTTCATATTGTCGTTAATATCTTTCATAAAGTTCGCCAACTTAATAAATTTAATTTGACTGTTTTTTGAGGTAAAGGCACAAATTAAAAGGCTTTAAAGTAGGGGGAACCACACGCGAATGTATTTTCAAATGTTTGCGGTGCACGATTTAATACCTGGCCGACGATGGCATTCACGCGGCATCTGCACTAGCCAAATCCAAAACACCGAATGAAAACTTGGCGCAAACGAAAACAAACTTAAGTTGCCGTTCGCAGCTGTGGTGAATTTCTCGACTCGCACAGTGCACAGTGGGCCAGTCAGCATTTTTTGATGCCCAAAATGTATTTCAATAGTACTGAGATCATTAACATGACTTAAATAATTTGGTTGAAAATTCCATTAAAGTCTTGGATTTTCTTAAAACTTTTAAAGATACACATTGGACGAAGAAGCCTAAATCTATGAAAAAGTTTAACGGATGCATTCATTAAAATATACTATGCAGATTTCATTATATAGTCCGTTTGTTAAATTTAAAGTAATTTTAAAATTTAAAATAGTATGAGAAATCAGAGCTTTAACCCTATTTTAAATTTAACAAAGGGACGAGAAAACGGCCCTTAAAATGTTAAGCTAAAGTTTAACCAAAATATATAAAAAAAAAAATTGGTTAGTATTTTTGCAAAAGGTTAAGAGTACCTTTGGAATTATGATAAACGCTCATTATAATTATACATTTTTCATTTTGTTTGTTATTTTCCATTTCTGCCTTTAAAACTAACATTCTGAACCACTGTTGAGTGGTGGAATTTAAGGTGCTTTCGAATTTTCGAAATTAATTTGATGCAACTTGGATTGAGTTGTGGCAGGAATTCCATTCTAGTAGTTTAATTTTTTATTTTTAAGATTTTTTCTTGATCAAAAGTAAAAAATTACAGCTAAAAAATTCGACCATTTGATTTTAAAAAAATACTCAGTTAAAAACGACAAGTTTTCTTTTTTAACTTATAAATTTTTTTTAAGCCGTTTAAAATTTAAAATTCATAATTAATTTTTCATAGGATAATTTTGACTGATTGACTTAAAATTGCAAAATTAAAGCAAAAATTGTGTAATATTTTTTTGAAATTTTATTTGTAAACATAATATATTATTGATTAAAACTAATAATTAGTAATTATTTATTATTAAAGAAATAAAAGTATAAATATCTTTCGTTTTATACATTTTCTTAATTGTTATTATTATTTATATTTATTTCTTTTGTTTTGTTTAATTTTTTTTATTTTTGTTCGAGTTTGATCGCAACATGTTTTCTTAGCATTAATTCTTAGCAACATGTTCGATGCAACCTGCCACATTCCCATTCAATTTCAATCCAAAATCGGCTTTCAATTTCAATAATAGTTAATAATTACTTAATTATAAAATAAAAAACAGGTTCATCATTTGCATTGCACAAGGAACTGCAACATGCAACATAAGATTGCTTGATTCCAAAATATTAAAATCGGCGGTGTCCCAGAAAGGAAACATAACAGACTTCGGTTGAAAAAGATTCTACGATAAGATAAATGAAAACAGAAAAGAATGGTTCTCTAACAAACATTACATTTAAAGACTGTAATATTAGGGTCGGAATTAGAGCCCTGCGTGAATAATTCAATTTTTGTTTTATCATAGTGTGCCATGAAATTTCTGATTTGTTTAATTCAATTCTATGTAAAATAAATTGAATGTTTTTCTAATTCATTTCGAATTGAATGAATCGAATGAATAATTTTTGAATTTTTTGAATTTGCCTGATTTTTTTTTTTGACTTCTTTTGAGAACAAAAAGTGGAAAATTTTTAACAAATCAATGTTAACTGCATAGTAAATAAAATGTAAACAGATTTGATCACAAAATGATGGCCATTTCTTCTTCAAAAGAAATTGTCGTTTGAATTATTTCGTAATTCATGCCATTCATTCATTCAATTCTATTAAACTCAAAATTCAAATTCATTCAATTCTATTAAACTCAAAATTCTATTTAATTCATTCATATAAAAAAAAAATTGAAAATAATTCATTGAATCCATTCATGCAGGGCTCTAGTCGGAATTGAGTGCGGATAAGATTTCTTCGAAAATGACTAATTCTCTAATGGTCAATCGACTTTTGTCGGTTTGCTTAAGTCGCGCTTGGATTGGTGTATCAATTTACTGATGTGCATGCAAAACCTCAGGGACCATTTGACACACTTTCTCCAAACAAATGGTGAATGTCCACTCACACCCACATTTACTCATATAAAATCGACTTTATTACAGGAATGCTGGCAGCATTTTCATATTTTAAATCAAGCTTCAAGTCCTTTTACCACAACCTTCTAACATTCATTGCACCATATAATCGTACAAAGGCATTCATTATAAAGAAATGAAAACATACATACCAATGTGTAGCTTTGGAAAACAATGAGACACCTTTTCTGATTGACACAGATAAAGTGAATAAAATAACATTGACTGGTGACATGGATACAGGGTTTCAATGTGCAACAAAAAGTTTAAAGATCTGATTCACTCAAAAAGTGAAATTGGTAATGAATCGTTTATAATTAAGAAGAAGACATAACAATTCGGGAAAAACTTTGTTTTGAATGACCATGTTTTTCCAAAAAATTATAGTTCAGTCTGGACACTGAATAGAGAAATAGCTCCAAAAATTAGGCCAACAACCAACTGGGAATAAAGAACGATGATACAATATAAAAGATTAAAAATATTACAAAGACAATGCCATGATACAAAGAGTCCAAGAAACCTGTGTCCATGATAGTGGCACACATTTTTCTAATTTTACCAATTAGCCGAGGCCGAAGTTTTTCGTTTTTAGTGCTAAAACTGAAAGCATTATGTTGATAAAATTTGGGCTGAGGCTCCTGAAATTGCGTGTTTGACTGCGTGACTTTTTTCGAAACTCACCCACTTTCACACGGGCATCCAGACGTTATGGAGCATAGAGTATAGAGGTCTCCTTGAAACGCGGTTGGTCACGAAAGCGAACAACAAAGAAAAGGCTTGCCCGTCATTTAAGGCAACATTTAATGGCCACTGGCTATAAGGCTATAAGGCTATAGGGCTCATCCTGAATAAACAGGGGATGGTGGGTGCGTGTGTATGGGAGCTGAAGTTGACGTTCGTTTGTGAAAACGAAGAAAGTGATTAAATCAGCACGATATTTTGTAGGTGTGCGCGAGTTCACCCATTAAATTTCTCCCCCTCTGCACTGGTATGTGTGCTCGGACATGTAGGTGTGCGCACCCACACACCTGCACTTTGAGCTACTGTTCTAAATTGACTTTTCGCCTGGACAAAACTAAAAATGACGACATCGCGTTTTTTTCGTAGAAAAGCTTAGCCTCTAAACATGCCCATCAACCGCGTGTTTATAAACAACACAGATCTTTTACCTAAAAGTGTATATGTTTGCATGAATATGTGTGGGTGGAATATATAGAAAGGTGTGCTGGGCTCATATTACACTCCTGCATGCATGTTCGCACACATGTATGCAGTTACCAAATATATGAACACGTTAATGTAATTAAACCTTAAGGCTGGATAAAAAGTAACCCGGGTCATATATTATTTGCGATATTACCTGGCAGCTATAAATCCACTTCTTTATGGCTGTAACTTATCGAGATTTTTTCAATTCGTCTTTATTACTATGTAAAAATACTTCAAAATAATTGAATATAATAAATAAAATAGCAATGTAAATAATGACCAGCTTAAATGTTAAGGAATACCTAAACAAAGAGAGAAATACATTGACTCGAAAAACTCAACGACATTTGTTAGCACCTCAAAATTGTATCTGCTTTCACCTACAATACTCAACCAACGGACTTGAATATTTCCTTTAGATTGTCCTATTAACCTCTGCGAATTTTTTAAAAGAACCGTGCACCAAGCCACATAGAAAATTTCATTTTTATTACAAGTTTGCCATATGTGCAAAAAAGTAAAAAGGTATACGAGACGTTCCATGACGACATTGACTGCAAAGCCCTTTGTTTTTAATATTTTACCTCACACCTTTTTTGTCAATGTTACGACTATTTCGCCTTTTATTCGCGTTAAAAAGAAAACATAAAATCTATTTTATCTTGCAAACGGAAGACACAATTTGCATAAGCTATAATTTATTTTCTATAATTTTTCCATTAATTTTCCGATCGTTCCTATGGCAGCTATGGTCATCCGTTTAAAAAAAATTTAATTGGAATTTTTCCTAAAATTAGAAGGTAATATTTAAAAAAACACCGAAACTAGAATTTGTTCTATTATTTTTCCGATTATTCCTATGGGAGCTATAGGATATAGTTGTCCGATCCAGCTGGTTATAGAATGCAATAGAAAGAATGCAATAGAAAGAAGACTTTTGGGAAAGTTTTAACCCGATAGCTTCAAAACTGAGAGAGCAAACTAGTTGCGTAGAAACGGACAGACAGATGGACGGACATGGCTAGATCGACTCGTCTAGTGATGCTGATCAATAATATATATACTTTGTATACTTTGATCAATAATATATATACTTTGTAGGGTCGAAAATTTGTTAATACCCATTTACAATTCCACTTACACATCATTAACACGTTCCGCCATAAAAAAAAAAACAAGAGAGAACGCTATAGTCGGGTTGGTGTCCCGACTATTTATATTATATAATCGTAGCTCAGCTAAAGGGAGTGCGAGGGAGATGGATATATGTAGATATTTTGATTGCGTATAACTTTTTAATGAAAGGTCCGATTTGAAAAATGTTTTCTACATTTCGATAGGTATAAATATATACAACAAAATTCCATTTATACTTCTCGGAAATCTTTAAAGATGTGGGCGCAGGACACATTTTAAAATTGTTAGTGGGCGATTGTGGGCGCTAGAGGGGGCGTGGCGCTCGACTGAATATGTGTGGAAAATCTCAACCTTCTAGCTTTTGTAGTTTCCGAGATCTCAGCGTTCATACAGACGGACAGACGGACATGGCTAGATCGACTCGGCTATTAATGCTGATCAAGAATATATATATTTTATGGGGTCGGAAACGCTTCCTTCTAGCTGTTACATACTTTTGCACGAATACAATATACCCTTTTACTCTACGAGTAACAGGTATAATTAGCTTTTAAATAGTTTTTACCTGACAATTTGTTTTACTAATTGAATTTCGTTAAAATGTTAAACTCTACTTACTAAAAATAATATTATTTTATCTTTATTTATTAAATTTTTGTTTAACAGTTTATGCCGTTTCTAAAAAAAATTATTTACGAATTTTAAACTATTGTACCACAGCCTTTTTATTGAATTATACCTTTAGAGGTTTTGCAACCTGAAGAGATTTTTGTGGCATCCCCACTAATTTCAGGACGAATACCCTTAATGCGAGTAAAAATTCAGTTTAATGCTCGCGAGTCACTGGTTCGCGTGTTTATCGATAGGCATTGTTTTGGTTTTGGTTGTTCTCGGCATAAAAAACATATTTTTCATGCGGATTTTAAGACAAGTTGAAAGCATTCTTCGTTTGGCAAGTTGTGCAGGTTTTAAGTTAATCCGTTTATAAACTATACTATATGTCATTGAAAGAAAAGTCTCAGAAGCAGTGTATTTGTGATAAGTGCTACAGTGGGCGCACGTGTTGATTAACTTGTTGTTGTTACCCTTTTAGCGGTGCGCAGACATACTAAATCGTCGGCGATTTAACCACTGTAAACAATTCTCGTGGCTGTCGAAAATGCAAAGCCCCAAATGCGTGCAAAATGCGCAGACCCAACACGGAGATGCCTCATCGGTGGACGTGGAGAATATATTTCTGCACCGCTTCATGCTGTCCATGTCCACTAGCACTAGCGCGATCTTGGGGTCTAATGATACGGCCACAGATCCAGCTGACAACACAGATCCCCCGGTAAGTAGGGGTTTGGTATGGGTGATATATCACCCCTCATTCGGGTAAAAAATGAAAAGAAATTTTGGAATTCAAAAAGTATGCAACCAAAAAATTGGAGTATATATGCAAATGTAAACTCTATTTAATGGTTTAGAAAATTAGATAAAATACCAAGTTACTAATTACTTAATTTTTGTCTCGAAAAAAACCATAAGATAATTATTTTACTATTATTTTTAAAATCACGAAAATAATTATCAATATGATCCAACAGTTATTACACTGAAATATTAAGTTATGTTAGAATTAACATTTTTTCACAGTGTCCTTATACAACTACAATATTTAGAATCATACTTGCGTTTCACCCGACACTTGAAACATTCAAATCGTATTTGTTTACCGTAGCTCCCACTCCATTATTAATTCCCATTTATTTACCAGTTTTATCGCGCTCAGTCAGCAAGGAAACCGCGCCAGCGACCAGCTCTCAAACTTTGACCGATTCGCAGCTAGTAAAAGGGCATATTTATCTTGGGGGAATTGAATACCCAAAACAATTTAGTCGGTCTGTTCGCAAATGTGTGGATTCCTGTCCTAACTTATGCAGTATTATTGGTGTCAGGGGAAATTTCAATGCAGCAGCTTCAATCTCAAACTTAAAACTTAATTAAAAAGCTAATCAGGGACCAGCAAATGCAATTTGGTGCATTAATTTAAACAATTAATTAAAGATGAATTAAGGGTCAATTTCAGTCACCATAGAAATAGATGGATTCACATCGAGTTCAAGTTTGATGTAAATTCTTGACTTGGTTAGTTATGTTATGTTGTATGAAAGGTATGTTGTTAAAAGTGGTAAATTGGGCTGCAGAGAGTATATGGAAAATGTAAATTAAATTCAAAGTAATTAATAATTACCTACAATGAATGGAAAAAGAAACTAAAGAAAATAATTTGCGTTTGTAAGAGTAATTTAAACATTATTGCGGACTTACCGCACATTCGTGTGGAAAAATAGGTTCATTTCAGTTTTATTCTATTACCTTAAAGTTTCAAAGTCGTAAAAATGGATATAAACATGTGGTGGAGGAAAATGTACCTGGAGATTTAAACTTATTTTACGAGACTTTGAGTCACAAATGCCCCAATAAACGAGACTGCAGTGGCTGCAGAGTCAACGCTCTGCCTGCATAGAAATTTAAAGCCACCCTTAGGCGTCAGTACATTCTTAAAAATTTAGGGCTCTGCTAAGATGTGCAACAAAAACCAGATTTTAGACAAAACCCTTAATGGCCCACAAAAACCAGGCATACAAGTTTCGGGCTCTTTGTTTGTTGGCTTTTACCTCACCGTACGTGACAGTGGCAAATGGCCTTAAATATGCCGGCGATTATTTAGCCGAGTTTATGCTTAAAGCAAGCCCATTTTTACTTCGCTCACTAATTAAACAATCAATAAACTAAGCACCGGGGGTTCATGGATCCGCGTTATTCAGATTTACATAGTGTACACAAGACATTAATGACCAAGGGCGGAGCGGGGTTGAGATACAGTCGCTTGCTCACGCAAGGAGTTAAGTTATGTGTGGGCCCAACTGGACGGACGGCAGGACTCGTTTCACTTACCTTCCGTATATTTTACCACGGATTTGTCATAATTAGTTCTCTCCCGACGACACGGCCTTTTGGGGGGTCTCTGCGGGTTCTAGTGTCCCGCCATCGCAGTGGTTTCCTAACGAGCTACTTTTGTCAAGTTGGTCTGCGCCTAGATGGTCGTGATGTTTCCGCAATTATTAGTGTCAGTGCCTTCTGCTTTCAGGCGGGTATCTAAGTGTGGTCCTCATTGTTTCCGCGATGCGCCTTTTGGGCCAGTCGTTTTTATAATTCTTACAATACCATGTAAACACACATTACAAAAACCGCCGTGGAAAAAGGATGATAAATGCAGTAAAAAGGAAATCCCTCTAAGACTTGGTCTAGTGCAGTCCTTTTTCCATTCCACTGACTGAAGAATTAAAAGAAAAGACGGGTGGGTTTATGGTAAAGTGGCTTAGTGAATCTGGCACATATAATACAATTTTCTTAATTTTACATGAGTGGCTTGATTTGTTCAGGCTTTGAGATAGTTTTTGTGAAATACATTTAAACTACTTACTGAATGATTCATGATGAATAGGTACCCATTTTCGTAGATTCGTAATAACTAAATTAATTAAAATAAACTTTAGAAACAATCTGTTTTCTATTTATTTCCTTATTAACTATTGATTTAAAGTATTAAATGATTGACTTTAAAATCTATAATGAAAATTCGTTTAAAAATAATGATAATTATTATAATGAAAAACGGATTCATGGAAGAAATAAATTGTAGGATTTCTATTAGTTTTTTAAGAGTTTAATGAAAGCTAGAGAATCAGTGCAAGGCGAAGTTTAACAATTTAAATGTAAATTCTTTGAACAAGTTTCGTTACATAATTAGGAATAATTAACAATTAAAGCTGGTAAATAAAATAACATTTTTAAATATCACAAAATCTCAAGTGAAATGGCGGAAAACCAACCAAATATTAAGGTTACTACACATTGAATGAACAAATATGTGTCAAGGTCCCGTGTTTTTTGAATTGTGAATGTGAGTAAGAAAAAGAATTGGTTTGTTTGCAAAAAGCGGCAAGCGAAATGTAAGTAAAATCAAATTACCTATGCTTATTTATTTATTCCAACATTTGTTTTATAGGAGACGGCAAAGAACACAACAACAGGATGAGATTATCCTAAACGCTACAAGGATATTGCAAGGAGTATAGCAAGGGGTAACAGGATATAGCATGGGCAGGTCTATTCCTGTGGTCCGCCCTTTAAATCGGACGATGACTGGCGTCGGGTGAGTGATACGACAGCCAGGAATAATACCCACTACTGAAGATAATTTTCCTTGCAGATCTAGAAGGACTGGAAGTGTTATATCAAGAAGAAGACGGTCGATAAAGACTGCGCCTCCACAGTTGGACCACTGACGTCCACGGAGGAAGCGATCGCATCTATCCTATCCTCCAGTTTAATGGTTGTCAAGATGAAGAGCCAGAAGACAACATCTCTGCAGAACCAGAAACAACAATTAAAATGGAGTCCACATGCAGCACTAGCTCAAGTGAGGCTATTGTCATAAGACACAGGGCTTCAGAAAGCACCAAGAAGGTTAAGCTGAAAAGGAATGCGTTGCAAGAACCGAAGGATGCCGACGATCCTTTAGTCCTATCGCACAAAAAGATTAAAAACTCCGCCAAAACCAGTCAGGAAGAAAATAAACATAATTCTGAAGATTTTGTAACCCTAAAAGAAATTGCGGGGGGCCTTCACACACTTAATGAAACTACAAAGTCTGCAGGAGAATCACTTATGTCTATGGGAGCTAAAATGTGCGATTAGATGGAAAGAGGACTTAAGGAGCGACACCAACAGAATGCATTAATCAAGAAATTATTGGATAATAGAAAATAAAAAATCATTAATACCTCTGTAAACTATAGACAACGTAAAACAATTTATTTTGCGACACAACACAATATAAACAAACCTACCTGTTTTATTTTTACTCTGTCTATGTTTGCGACCCGACTAGACCCTAATGGCTCGCATACCAGTAACTAACAAAATACTGCTGGTTCGAAGCCAATTTTGCATTTTTTTTTTCCTTTTCGTTTGCAAAAAGGAAAAATACACAGACTGTGTGAAAATTATGCAAAGGCAGGAAAGCAGACAGAAAAGAAGAAATTGTTTGCACACAAACACCGAAAACAAGGCCCATGTGTGTTAAAAGCTGCTGAGAGTTTATTCTGTATGATGGCTTGAGCACTTAATGCTATCGTATATTTTGGACCTTGAGGTGGTGGACAAAAAGACTACAGAATTGGAAGCCAAATTAAAAAATCGACCAATAAATTGTGTTCGACATATAAAAAAAACACCGCTATGTATTTGGCATCTAATATAGATAAAATTAGTAGCTTGAAAGGCAGCAGTTTAAGAATTTAAAATGTTACAAAATTGCATGTTTAAATATTACCAAATCTCTTGTAAAGGGGCGCCAAACAAGTCGAATTTGAAGGTTGCCACATAGTGGAATTAAAACTGGGGTGAGTAACAAGAAAATTTGTTTTGTTTACAAAAAAGCGGCATGCAAAATGTAGGTAAATGTAAATTCTTTTTATTGTCAACATCCTTTGACGGTTATTTTAAAGGGGAAAGCATAGAACAATACGGCAGGATGCCATTTTCCTAAACAAGGATAAAGCAAGGGGTTTAAATCGTCGCAACGGACTGGAATCAACTGTAGCTTGGGCAGGTCTTTCTCAGGCTCTTAACGCCTTCGGTCCGCCATCTACATCGGCGTAAGTTTGGAGTCAGGTCAGTAATGTTACAACTAGAAATAACACATTTAACTTTAGACCTTATTTCTGTTCAGGTCTGGAAGGCTGCAATCGCTGCTATCCTCCAGTTCAGTGGGTAAACAGCAATTTGCATTACTTATGAAATTGTCAGATGCCGAAAAATAAAAAGAATGTATACATTTTTTTACTACCTCTTCAAACTATAAGCCTTAAAAAAATTTGTATTGTAACACAACAACTGTTTCTCGGTTTATTGCATCAGGCGTTATATCATTGTACTATGAAGTATATAGTACTTTCTAAATCAACCCGAATGGTCCCAAATCTATCCATCCTAATTTACATATATTCATTATCAGCATTAACAATTGAGTCAATATAGTTATGTCCACCTGTCGTTCCCCTAAAATTTTAAAACAATTATGTGTCTCCTTTAGGCTGTACAAATGTTAAGATATGGCATGTTTGAATATTTCAAAATCTCTAGTGAAATGGCGGCAAACCAACCAAATAACAAGGTTACCATACAGTGTATTAACACTGATGTGGCAAGGTTCGCGTGTTTTTTATATGGTGAATGTGAGTAAGAAGAAGATTAGTTTTGTTTACAAAAAAGCGGCGAGCAAAATGTAAGTAAAATTTAATTTGTTTTGGTCGGCTATTTATTTTGACCGCTGTTTAAAAGGAGAAAGAACAGAACAGTTCAGCAGGATGAGCTTTTCCTGGAGTTTATGCAAGATCACAAGGATATTGCTAGAGCCTTAACTCGTGGCCAAAAACTGGAAACGAATGCAGCTTGGGCACATCTCACAAAGGCTCTTAACGCCTGTGGCCCGCCAATTAAATCTCAGGAGCGTTGGCGTCGGGTGAGTGAACCTGGAATTACCTGAAATAATAGCCAGGTCTTAAGAACGCATTTCCTTACAGATCTGGAAAGACTGGAAGTGCTCAATCAAGAAGAAGTCGGCCGATAGAGGCTTGTCCCACAATTATGAACCAATGACGCCCACGGAAGAAGCGCTCGCTGCTATCCTCAATTTTGATAAGTCCGCAGCAAATGAGCCAGAAGACAGTGAAGAAGAGGATTCGTCCTCGCAGTTTTCACTGCAGAAATCGTATGAGCAGGATCCCGAGGACCTGTTCAACTCGCCAGAACCCAAGAAAAAACTTAAAATAGAGTCCAAACGTAGTACTAGCTCAAGCGAGCCTATTGCCAAAAGAGACAGGGCCTCACGAAGCACCAATAACGCGAAGCTGAAGAGAAAAAATCAGCAAGTCGAGGATGCCGAAGATCCTTTAGTTATTCCACCCAAAAAGTCTAAAACCTTTCCCAAATCCAGTCATCCCAAAGCTGATACCAGAGCGTCAGTAGAGACTTCTTCTGAGTATTCTGAAGATAGTGAAACCCTACAAGAAATTGCGGATGAGCTTCACGCACTCAATAAAACAGCCAAGTCCGCAGCACAATCAATAGCTAAAATGTGCGCTTTGATGGAAAGAGGACTTGTGGAGCGACAAAAGCACAATGCATTACTCATGAAATTGCTGGATAAAAACAAATGAAAGGAAACTTTAAATTTATGTTTTATTTTACTACCTCTGTTGTATTAACTTACAGCCCTAAATAAATTTGTATTGTGACACAACAGAATATAAGCAACCAACTTTTTTCCGCCTTCTGTCTATGCTTGTTGCAATTAAGGGAACGACCCAAAATGGTTCCTGTTGAATTTTCAAACAGCTGTTATTTGTTGAAAAGTTTCGCGAACTTAAAGCATGTAAAATTTGATTCATTATTGCTAGTTACTGTCTAAAAGTGTTACCAAGGTAAAAAGAACCACAAATATGCTTTCTAAGTTGATTTTAAATTTCATATTTGAATATTGCAAATGCCGCTAGCCATTTGAAAAGCGAAGTTGCCACTAAGTAAATTAACACATGGTTGCGTGTTATCAGTGTTATTAGTCAGAGCAAGAAGAAGGTTTGTTTTGTTTACAAGAAAGCGGCCAGAGAAATGTAAGTAAAATTTGAATAGTTTTCATCACATATTTTTTTCGATCGCTGTTTTACAGGAGAAAGCCTAGAACAGCACAGCAGGATGAACTTTTCCTGGAGTTTATGCAAAACAACAAGCATATAGCGAGGGCCTTAACTCGTAGCAACAAACTGGAAACGAATATATGAAGCTTGGGCAGGACTCGCTCAGGCTTTTAACGTCTGTGAAGCCATAACTAGGAGTATACCCACTACATAAGAAGCAATCAAAAGGAAGACGGAGGATAGAGGCTGGCTCGACAAGCATGAACCACTGACGTCCACGGAACAGGACGCTTCTATCTTTAATTTTGATAAGATCGCAGATGATGAGCCAGAAGACGGTGCACTTCGTCTTACCACGATGGAGGTTCCGTCCTCAGAAATGTGAGAGGGAGACCACGAGACCTGTTCATCTCGCCAAAACCCAAGAAGAAAACTAAATTAGAGTCAAGGTCTAACACTAACTCAAGTAGCCTATTGTCATAGGCTAAAAGGCTTCAGGCGGTCCAAAGAAGATAAAGGTCAACAGGAATGCGCTGCAAGATGAGGAGGATGCCGACGATCCTTTAGACCTACCACCCAAAAAAAATAAAACCTTTCCCAAAATCAGTCAGAAACATAATAAACATAATGACAAGTCGTCAGAAGCTCATTTATCTGATAGTTCTAAAGATTGTGCAACCCTAAAGGAAATTTCCGCGGAGCTCCACGTACTTAATGAAACGACAAAGTCCGCAGCAGAATCAATGAAGTCCATGGCAGTTAAAATGTGCGACTTGATGGAAGAAGGACTAGAGGAGCAACGTCAGCATAATGCATTACTCAGACAATTGTTGGATAACCGAAAAAAAATAATTATATTTATACATACCTAGTATTTTGCTACCACTGTAAAATATGGCAGAATATAAACAAGCCTACCACAACAACCTTATCCCTATTTGTTTTATTTTAGATTTCTGTCTATGCTGGTAGACTAATAACTAACAGAATACTGCTGGTTTAAAGCCAATTTTCCAGTTTTTTGTTTCTCCATTTTGTTTGCGTCAAGGAGGAACACACAAACTGTGTGAAAATTATGCCATGACAGCAAAATACAAAAAAAAAAGGATTGTTTGCACACCGGAAACTACGCTCATGGGTGATAAAATATGATACGAGTTTGGCATATAAGAAGGCTAAAGGATTTAATGCTTTCGTCTATTATGCATCTTTGGTGATAGTCCTAGAATTTCCTACCCCAATCGAGCATATTGTTTTATTTATCAAACAAATTTGAAAAGAAAAACGTTAAGAAGTAATGTTCGTCAATTTTATGTTAAGTTTTTGGTATTTATGATTAGAAAATGTACATCGATATTAATTTTCATATTTTTGAATTTGTTTTACAGGTAATGTTATCAGAAGAAAAACCTGTAGTAGCACATTTGCCGGAAAAACGCAAGGCTAAAACCTCCGATGACGAAAGCAATGTGAAAAAAGTTAAATTGGATGCCAATGGGCTTAAGACCAAGCGTCCCGGATTCAATGATGAAAGATACGAAGAAACATCGTATTATTTTGAAAATGGTACGCAAACTTTTTTACAAATTTGCAAGTATAATAAAAAATTTGTTTTCAATTAGGTCTTAGAAAGGTGTATCCCTATTTTTTCACATTCACTACGTTCGCCAAAGGCCGTTGGGTTGACGAGAAAATTCTGGACGTGTTTGTCCGTGAATTTCGAGCTGCTCCACCCGAAGAGTACGAGCGCAGCCTGGAAGCTGGAAAATTGACCGTCAATTACGAAAAGGTTCCCAAGGACTATAGAATCAAACACAATGACCTGCTAGCCAATGTCGTTCATAGGTATGTATTTGTAGGAAACTTTCATTTAAATATGCACACATTTGTATTATAGACACGAAGTCCCTGTTACTTCACAGCCCATCAAGGTAGTCTTTATGGACAAGGATATTGTGGTTGTAAATAAGCCTGCTTCCATACCAGTAAGTATAATTTATCTACCGGAAATGTAAATTTTAATCTAATAAAATTAAATTTTAGGTACATCCGTGTGGGCGATACAGACATAATACCGTGGTCTTTATCCTGGCCAAGGAGCACAATCTAAAGAACCTGCGCACAATTCACAGGCTAGACCGACTGACATCTGGTCTTCTTTTGTTTGGTCGCACTGCCGAAAAAGCCCGAGCATTGGAACTGCAGATCAGAACTAGACAAGTGCAAAAGGAATACGTGTGCCGAGTAGAGGGTCGCTTTCCGGAGTAAGTTAATCCAAAAGTTATAGAACTTTTCTATTTATTTATATGTATTACTCATTGTTTCAGTGGAATAGTTGAATGCAATGAGAAGATAGACGTTGTGAGCTACAAAATCGGTGTTTGTAAGGTTTCACCAAAAGGCAAGGACTGTAAAACGACATTTCAAAAAATTGGTGAAGTGGGCGATGAAAGCATTGTTTTATGCAAGCCACTTACAGGTCGAATGCACCAGATAAGAGTGCATTTGCAATTTTTAGGTACGTCAGCAGGTTAAATTATAATGCTGTTGTAATTTTCCTAATTCCTTTCCTTAGGTTATCCCATTTCAAATGACCCCCTATACAATCATGAAGTTTTTGGTCCATTAAAAGGGCGAGGAGGAGACATCGGGGGAATAACACAAGAACAATTGATCACTAACCTAATAACCATTCATAATGCTGAAAACTGGTTGGGTCTTGAAGGAGAACAAGTCGCGCCGACGGAAATCAAAGGTGAATTAAAAACTACTTCAGTAGTGGAAGTACCAATAGAAGCCACTAAGCCTATGATTTCAGCAACAAATGAACCAATCAATGAAGTAAGTCTGAAAAGATTTAAGTATATGACCGGATAATATAATATTTTAACAACATTTTCAGGCTTCCACTCAAACTTGCTATGAAGAACCAGACAGGTCCTTTGATTTCAAAAAGGCTACTTCTGATCCGCATTGTTCTGAGTGCAAAGTAAACTACCGAGACCCCGGCGCAAAGGATCTAATCATGTTTCTGCATGCTTGGAAATATAGGGTTAGTTGTACACCCCTCCTGTTTTTAATATTCTAATCTAAAAATTATATCGCATTTACAGGGTGTCGATTGGGAATACAAAACAGAACTACCGGACTGGGCTTGTAAATCGACCATTAATTATGATCACTTGTGAATTAATAAATTCGCTTGACTTTTTAAACATGAACTTTAAGTACAACGTTTGTTTTAGTTTTAAAATAATTTATTTATTTTTTTATGTTTAAAGTTACTGGCAAACTTTACATTTTTTATGGTATTACTATCATTGACTAAATTGACAAAATTAAGGTTTTTAAAAATGATAACATATTTGTGGGTTGTGCTATCTTTGCCGTTATTATCTATTCAAAATCCACACTCGCAAATTATCTATGATATTAATCCCACATATTTGGATCTTTATTTGTCACACAAAGATGTCCTGGTAGAATATTAATTTCCTTTGTGCCACACATGTCCAAGGATGCCAACAATTCTGGATTATCTAATGCAAGAACTGGTTCTGTCCCCGCTGCCTACTATTTGTTCAATTGACTGCAGAAAATATTCAAATCATTGCCGGAGGAACCAAATTCAGCACTATCCGGCATGGGTTCGCCTTGGAAAAAATGGCTCAATAACAGCCATAAATACCGCAGAAAGTCTACTTCAAACATTAAATAAATATAACATTTCAAAAAATAATTTAACATTAGCCGCTCAAACGTTTAATGATTCTTTAGACGATGATGTCTGCATACCTGGCCAGGTTTTAAAACTAAAGCCAAATAACTTTTTTCCCTATATAAACAATGGTACCTTCTTCATTAAATTATATTCACCAAGCTGTTTATCGTGTATTAGGTTATTCGCAATTTGGAATGAACTCGCTTCGGAATTGGTAAATGAAACTAAAGTCTGCATTGCGGAATATGATTGCACCACTGGAATGCAAATTTGCAAGGACTTGCAAATCACACGGATACCTGCCTTAATATGGTTTCAAAACGGAAAACGTGTCGAGAAATACAATGGAAAGAAGGACAAAAAAGGGTTAAGGAATTTCGTGTCTAATATGATAGTGCCTAAGAGCTCTCAATCTTCTGGTCATCGAAAAACATTTTCAAATATGGCCAAGTTTACGCTGTCAATTAAGATTAGTTTGTGGTTTTATATGCTACAAATAAAATAAAAAGTCTTCGAAATTAAAAATTGTTCTTTTTCCATTTAGTTTAAATACATTTAAATTAGTTCAAGGTATAAAACCGTAAGAATTGGAGTGGAGTTTTTTAAACTTGAAAGTGAGTATCGTTGGCGGGAGCGCCTCTGACACCTATCGATAAATCGATTCTTTTTGGCAACCCATAGAGTGGAGCTGTGCCATCTCTTTTGGACATCTGGCGCAAATAATTACGAAGCCGACAGAAATTATGATACAGGACTTGTTAAACGCTTGCCAAAGCCCCGAGGGTCTGGGAATTAGATCCTTCACGGTAAGTAACGAGATTTTGCAAAGGATAATTCTCTAGCTTTAAAAACGGATATTCAGGACACCACAGTGATTGAGCACTTTATACATCCTTGCGAGAGGCATATATTTTTAAATATCCTTAAAATTATAAAAGTCCACCAAGAAGTCGCTCAGTTTACACAGTCCGTGGGATCGCAGAAGAACACACTTGGCCAACTTCCAGGTATGTTGGCTGAAATCGTACAAGTACCAGTTACTAAAACTTAGCCGCAGATCTTTCGGATGGCTATTACTTGCTCAATTTGGCCAAGGGAATCGAGGTCGCCCTAGAGGATTACCATGCCGAGATCAGGCGCCTGGAGAAGTACTGCTCGGAGAACGAGCGCACCTCGCTGTCCTACGTCCACGATGCCCTGCAAGTCAAGCTGCCAGTTCTGGTTTTCCTGAGGAACCTCATCATGGAGATCCAGGTGCGAAAACTGCGGGGATGCGCCATGCTGTACAACCTCCATCAGCAGTCCGAGCACGGAGACATTCAACTGGAGAGAGTAATCAGGAAGCAAGTTGCAATACTTTCATCCCTTTTCACCATCCTAATTGTATGCATTTTCCAGAATTATGAAGCCCGTTAAGTACGCATTCTTCTCGAGCCTGGCTCACTGGCTGTTGTTCGGTGTGATCGACGACGTCCACACGGAATTCTTCATTAAATTCACCTCAAACGATTCGGTGGACGGTAGCCTATGCAGCAAATCGGCCAGTAGTTCTGTGATGGTAAGGACTTCAGTATTTTCCTGCATTTTAATCATAATATTATGATTTCCAGAGCGCCGACAAAACCCCCGAGGACTATATATGGCAGTACGAAATCAATCTGGATCAGCTGCCCGGATTTCTGTCCTCCATTGTGGCCGAAAAGGTCCTGTTCGTGGGACAAACTGTGCTGGTCTTCAAGATGCGGAAAAACGTTACCGCGAAGAACAACACAGACCAATTGGCAGTGAAGCTGGCTGAACTGTCACGCGATGATATCTACGAACTGTGGAACGGCAGGGAATCCGAGTTCTTTCAGATGGTCCTGGACCTGAGCAACGACGAGACCATCAATGTCTTCCGCATCGAAAATGTTATAAACGATATCAAGAAGTACGTTAGCATGCGGCTCTCGGAAATAGCTGTTAACGAAGTGGATCTGGAGAGCCAAATGGGACTCATCAAAGACTTTTATTTGTTGGGACGAGGGGAGTTCTACTTGGAGTTCTGTTGCCAAATGATCGGAACCATGGAAACTTATCGCGAGGAGCGATTCAAGAATATCACGAGATCATTTGAGGTACTGGAAATACCATAAATATGTGAATTGTCATTTTAAATTTTAAATATTTTGCAGCTGGCGGCTACCGTCATGGGAATCTCTGATGACTTGGACCACTTTGCACTCAGTTGCCAAAGAAGCATCAGTGAGCCAGACGAGAGTTCCGACTTTCATATTCTGCAAGGCCTGAACCTCAAGTACACATATGAGTGGCCTTTGAATCTGTTGTTTTCGCCGAAGGCAATTGAACGATACAACAAGATATTTCGGTTCTTGCTGATTATTCGAACTTTTCAATACGAAATACAAAGAGTCTGGGCCAAGCAGACCTGGAAGGCTAAAACTTTGCCTGCGCCTCTGGATAATAAAATCATAAATCTTCGCAATCATCTGATGTTCTTCCTGAACAATATGCAGTACTACATTCAAGTGGATGTGCTTGAAAGTGAGTTTTTTTGAACCAAGCACTGTGCTGCGTATTTACGACCCACATTTTCTTACAGGTCAATTTAGTATTCTGATGAATGTGATTAAAAGCAAGGCTGATTTTGAAGAAATACAAAGAGCTCATACAATATTTCTGGCAAATGTCCTGTCGCAATGTTTCCTGCTTTCCGACTCAAACGAGGGCCAAAAAAATACTACCGGATGCCAATCGCAAAACCCCATTTATGGAACGCTTCTTAAACTCTTCAGTATATGCGACAAGTTTGCGCACATTACCCAAACGAAGGATCCGCCTGATAACTTTATGGGCGAGATCGACGATCTTAATGAAAGGTTCATTGTGTCAATCATTAATTTATTTCTCCAATTATTGTACGTAATAATAAAACTTTGTTTTTTACAGATTTGGTGTTCAAATTGCGAGCCTTATCCAACTATTAGTTGACGTTAAATCAGCATCTAGCTTGGGTCCGCTTTCTCAACTCCTTTTGCGATTGGATTTTAATCATTGGTTTAGTGCCAACCATAATGTGTCAGCATCGAGCAAATAAACGAAGGAAGTACCTTTACCTAGAGCTGTAATCGCTTTATATCTTCTATGCGAAAGTCGTTCCTGAAAATGATCAGTAGCGTTTTACAACGTTGTGTGATTTCATTGATTCATTTCATTACCTTAGCGTTAAAAATGTGCGAACTTCATTGGGTGTTAGGTGCCAAGTTGACATCTCCTTGTTATTCTCGGGATTCCAGTACTCGGAGAGCTCCGAAATCTTATCCAGATTTAGAAGGGTGGCAATTTGGGAGATCCGTGTCATCTTGTCTCTCACCGACCATGATGTGGCTCCAGTTAGGTAGCTACCCAAGGCACGGACCTCCTGATCGAGCACCAGACCACCGAGCTATGTGGGGGAATCAATTTGTAAAACGGGATTTGAAAGACCTTCTTTAAAAACCTACTCTGTTGAAGCTGATCTTTTTAATAGCTCGCTCCAGTTGCATCGTTACTTCGGTTGCAAGAATGCTGACGAGGGCATCGTAGTTCCGCGGACTCAGTGAGTTCTTGAAGGAGTTCAGAAGCCCATCCAACTGGACTATGAAAAACTGGACAAAGGTTTCCCCAGCCTCGTAGGCAGCAAGCTCCTCCTGCATCGAAAAAAGGCAATGAGCTTTCATACAGTCTCCCTTTAGTGTCAGGGCTTACCTCGTTTAAATTGTGGCTGTAATTTAGGAACTGGTTAATCCAGGGGTTGAGGCGAGGCTTTATGACACTGGATCTCAGCTGCTGCATTCCGAAATCAACGGTGGCTTTCAACGCATCGCGCACAGCCTTGAGTTCCGTCAGGCAGCTGTCCAGCAATTGACGCTCCACCGACGTCGTCTGTGGAAATGTGCCAGCAATTTCCTGTTCCATAGTCTGCCACAGGGTCTCAATATACTCTGTCGATATGTCGGCATTGTTCAACTGCACCAGGAAGTTGGCTCGACCTCGATCGGCATCGCTGGAATGTAGTTTTCCCTGCTGCAGGGTCGTTTGAATGGCATTGTATGCCTGGGCCAAGTCGATGTAGCCCGACGGGTATCCGCTTTTTAGGGGAGCCTTGAGTGCAGACACAAAATCACCGTCCAGGCAGGCAGCCACGTTGTTGATCACAGCACAGGTTCCGTTTATCGATTGCGTTGTCAAGGATCTTCGAATGGATTTGCGCAGAATGAAGAACACATCGTCCACCATCGATGAACATTGCTGTCCGGCTTCGTAATTGTCCAGACCGATGGCTTTGAGAACGCTTTCCTCCATAAAATATCTGGAAATTTGAATATAATGATAAGCGTCTTAGGAATCCTTTTAAGATCTACCTTTCTAATAGCAAGTAAGTGCTCAGAATTTCTTGCATTTGGCGACGCAAGTCTGAGTTTTTCATGATCTTCTCGTAGCGTTCCATTATATCCGCCTGCTCTTTTTCCGGCACACACTTCTCAACGTGAACCTGCAATTTATATTATTTATAATTAGGTGATGACTACAAAAGGCTAATTCGCTCTTGCCTGCAAGCGTCGTCGCATAAAGCGGAAGTACAACTCCACTCGGGCGTGCATGACGGTTATTTCAGCTATAATGGCATCGATTTCCTTCGGGTTCAGCTTGTCCACCGATCCGCCAGATGGTTTCCGATAATGCCCCAGAGCCTGAATACTGTTGCTCCCGACACTTCCGCCTCCAGCCGACCGCTGGGTGGATTCATTGACTTGTTTGCTGCGGTACTGAATCTGCCGGTTCTTGTTGAACTCCATCAGGAGGTTCTTTACCTCGGCATCGCACTCGTGCTGCAGAATGGCCACCATGTCAATGAGGGACGAAGATCTGCGGGATAGTCATTGTTATGAAAGATTTTGTTCATCAATATAGGTGCAACCTACGCTTGTCCGTAAAATGCTTCAATTATCGGCTGATTGACCTCCACCACCCGCGCAAAGTTCTCCAGAATGGCAGTCAATCGGTCTGCGTAGGCCAGTTGCAGGCGTGATTCGGCCTTGGCTATGTCCTGGGCGTTCCGCAGCTCCTTTTGCGCCTTGTTCGCCAGCTTCTGGCAAATGTAGACCGAAAACTTCTCGATTCCGGTGCGATGGCAGCCGACAAGGGGAAAGATCTTAAAGAATCTCTCCACGGAGGCCAAGTCGTCGGCCTTGACCGCCTCATCGAAGCGCTTGGCAATGAGGACACGGGTCTTCTCGGTGGCATCCTCCAGCGTCTTGACCGCATCGCTCACCGACGTTATGGAGCCCTGAACATCGTCGGCCGTGCGCCGCAGGAGCTGCTGATCCATCGCCAGGAAACGGGCAATGTGGGTGGCGCTCTTCTCGTAGTCCTCCTCGCCGATGGCCTTGACCACGCCCTGGCTGCACAGGTGCAGGTCGATCAGGTCGTGCACTCGCTGCTGGCACTCGGAGGCCCGGCACCTGGCCAAGTCCAGCCGGCGCACCTTGGCGCTCACGGACTCGGCCAACTGGGCGGTGTTTACGATCTGGTCGTTCAGCTTGTTCGAATCGCTGTCCACCGTGTGCAGCAGCGCCAGGGATCTCCCGATGCCACTCATTCTGGCCTCTATCTGGCACTGCTTGGCCAGCAGCGACTCCAGCTTCTCGTTGACTTTCGCCTGAAACGGTGTGAAAACATGAAGTCCATCCGGAATGTTATTGACTTGGCACTCACCTCTTCCTCGGCAATTCGCTGCAGCGCCTCGTCCACCTCTCCATTTGTGCCGATGTCCAGGGCGCCCAACTGCTCGAGAACACTCATCCTTTAATCGTCGGTCCGGCTTTCCGGATCTTCTATATTTATTATCCTATTTTATCCAATTGGCCTAATAATCTGATACGTGGAAAATAAATTGTTTTGCCCTCAATAGCGATGGGATTTCGGCGATTCTAGGTCGGGACGTATCGGAATGCGATATATCGATAGCTTCAAGCGAGTGGCAACGTTGATTAGAGGGTGTCATTATTAGGGGCATTCCTGAATTTGCACTTAATCAGCTGATTTAAAAATAATGCGATTTTTAAATAATTCAAACTAAAATATAAAGCAATTTGTAACGTAAACATTAAATTGTCTTGCTTTAAACTAGATTTTAATTTATTCTAATATTATTATTAGAAAACGAAATAGTTCTTCGACATGATATGTCGTCGGTATAAAAACTTCAAAATGCCGCGCCAAGCTTTTGAGCACGGGCACCCTACATTTCACAGCTGATGCGAAATTCAAAGCCCAACAAAAGTATTGATTTGCAGTAACAGTAATAAGAGTAGGATTAGCTTAGCGTAGAGTTCCAATAGATAATAATAGTCATGGATTTCACGGGCTTTGAAGTGCGCAAGGTGGGTGAAGAGCCGGGCGAAGATCGAGTGGAAACCAAGATACATATTTCTTTCCTTTCCCTTCCAGTGCCCACCGACTGCTATGTACATTCCGAACTTCATCACTTCCGAGGAGGAGCAGCGCATCCTGAGCCACATCGAGCGCACTCCGAAGCCCCGCTGGACGCAGCTGCTCAACCGCCGGCTGGTCAACTATGGCGGAGTGCCGCATCCCAACGGCATGATTGCCGAGGAGATTCCCGAGTGGCTGCAGAGCTACGTGGACAAGGTGAACAACCTGGGGGTGTTCGAGTCGCAGAACGCCAACCACGTGCTGGTCAACGAGTATCTGCCGGGCCAGGGCATCCTGCCGCACACGGACGGACCGCTCTTCTTCCCCATCATCTCGACCATCTCCTGTGGCGCGCACACCGTGCTGGAGTTCGCCAGGCGGGAGGACACCGCCGCGGAGCCAGAAGCTGGAGAGGATCGGCCCCGCGAGGTCCGCTTCAAGCTGCTCCTGGAGCCGCGCAGCCTGCTCATCCTGAAGGACACGCTGTACAGCGACTATCTGCACGCCATTGCCGAGACCAGCGAGGATGTGCTCTGCGACCGCGTCTGCAACTACGATCTGTGCGAGAACACCTACAAGATCGGCGACCACCTGGTCCGCCGCTCGCCCCGCATCTCCCTCACCATCCGCAACGTGCCCAAGACCAGCAAGATGAAGCTGAAGTTCTGCTAGGCTAGAATAGTAGTTGGCCATTCAATACAGATTGCACAGATGTTGACTACCGCACGTTTAACAAACCCACTGAAGGATCCTTGGGGTCCCAGGACTACGATAGCCTGCAACCTGAATCTTCCGCTAGACGTTTAAGCACTCGCACTAGCACACTAGCTCGCAAGCAATCAACGTTGGCCCACACAAAAGTGCTTTATTTATACCGTTAGCATTGTGTACATATATATAAATGTTTGTATTACGTATTACGGAGCAATAAGTTGGCCTGATCGGCGGACAGGCTCGAGCTGAATCCCTAGATTCCACCTGACCGCCGGCGGCTCTTAGATTTAGTTACGCGAGCAATTGAAGGGAGCAATCCGTGGTCTAGATTTTTGAAATATGTATGTAGTTAGCATATAGCTATATGGGTATTGCGTCAACTGATTTCGATTATGAAGTTCTTCAAGTTTTCTGGATTTCATAGAAATCTATTTGTTTGATCTAGGCCCAAATTCCAAGAGGTTACTATCGTACGATTAGTTCAAACTAGAGCCCTGCCATGAATGGATTCAATGAATTATTTTTTTGTTTTAATTAGAATTTTGTTTTTAATAGAATTGAAAGCATTTGAATTTTGAGTTAAGTAGAATTGAATGAATGAATGGCATAAATTCCGAAATAATTCAAACGTCAATTTCTTTTGAAGAAGAAAGGACCATAATTTTGTGATTAAATCTGCAAATCTATTTATTTGATCTAAGCCCAAAATTCCAAGAGAATACTATCGAAAGATTAGCTCAAACTAAAGCCCTGCATGAATGGAATCAATGAATTATTTTGAATTTTTTGTTTTATATGAATGAATTAATTAGAATTTTGAGTTTAATAGATTTGATTGATCTGAATTTTGAGTTTAATAGAATTGCATGGGTTTGAATTTTGAGTTTAATAGAATTGAATGAATTTGAATTTTGAGTTTAATAGAATTGAATGAATGAATGGCATGAATTCCGAAATAATTCAAACGACAATTTATTTTGAAGAAGAAAGGGCCCATAACTTTGTGATTAAATCTGCCTGAATTTTATTTACTAAGCAGTTAAAAATATCCACTTTTTGTTCTGAAAAGAAATCACAAAAAAATCTGGCAATTTCATAAAAAGTATTCATTCAATTCGAAATTAATTAGAAAAACATTCAATTTATTTCAAATGGAATTGAATTAAACAAATGATAAAACAAAAATTGAATGATTCACGCAGGGCTCTAGTTCAGACCAAAGAAGTATTTGTTTAAAATTATCCAATATGTTGGTTCTAGAGCAGCGGTCGGCACACACATACGTTGACATTTTGTGTTATATTTGTGTGAGTAATTTGCACTGGGCAGCTCATCGATGTGTGTGTGCAGACCGCTGTTCTACGTTATACATGTGCGAGCAGCGCGGCGGCAGAACAAAACCCTATGCTCACTTAATAGGGCGCTGCCGACCGCTGTTCTAGAGTAAGACACATTTTCTTCAAAAGAAAATTGACTATAAATCAGTTATAATATGTGTGAGTAGAGCCAATCAATGATTATCCGTTGACGAAATACCTCTTATATGTATGTTGAATGGAGCACGCAGCACATCGAGTACCGCATTCGAATGCTCTTTGCTCCGGCCTCCCGTGTCCAAGTGTATTTTTGTAACCGTTTTTTCCACCGCGCACCGCAAAAGAGCGAAGAGTTGCCAATAAACGTTACTATCTACCCACTGATCCTGCCGTCCTTCTCATCCCTTAGGCCTCCGCCTCCTGCCACTCCAGCCGGAACTCGCGCTCGAAGACCAGGCGATCGTACAGCCGCACCTCGCTGATCCGCGCCGAGATGTCCAGCCGCAGCTCGCTGACCGCCAGGTGGAAGTTCTGGCGCACAGTCCGCTGTTTGTCCGGCGTCAGCTGGTTGAGGGGTTTCCGGAAGATGCTCACGATGCGCTGCAGGTGGTACTCCACGCTGGCACAGCGCCCGATGCAGACCCACAGGTTCTCCGGATCGTGAATGTTGCCGGGAAAGCGGGTGCGCTGGTCGAAGGGCGCCTTGCCGGACAGCAGAGCCCGCACCTCGGCCACGATCTCCTGGTGCGTCCGCAGGTCCCGGGTGCTCAGTGTGGTGAACTCGTACTTGTCGCAGAAGTACATCAGCTCGGAGATCGCCACCCAGGCCTGCGAGCAGAGTGTGGCGTGGCTGTTGGACCAGTTGGAGTAGCCGGCCGGACTGGAGGACTTGGTGGCCACAGCAGTGGTGGCACTGGGAGTGGGGGAAGTACTCCGGGGACTTGCCGTCTTGGGCTTGGGCGTATCCAGGCCGTTTGTCGGCCTTCTCTCCGTGCGCTGCAGCTGCTCCATTTCCCGCTCGTGCTCCCGGGCCCTCAAATAGGCCTCCTTCTTCTGCTGCAGCTCCTGCAACTTGGTCATTTTCGGTGGTGAGTTGGACTTTGTGAAGATCGAGGACGCAGCAGGCGGAGGAGGAGCAGCCGGCTCGCTGTCTGTGTGGGCAATTGAAGAGCCGTTCGTGTCCAGCGATGCACTGCGTCCGTATTTGGCCCTGTAGCGCTCCAGCGTGTCCAGCGAGAAGCTGAGCTCCTTCTTGATGGCCCTCTGCATGGTTCGGTTTTCTGGCTTTATGTAATCACCTTGGGTGCTTCGGTGCTTCGAAATGCACGCGTTCCCTTCGAGAATTTACAGGCAAATGCGAGCGAACATTCCGCATGAAGAGAGACCGATCTCTTTATTTTTATCTTTTATCAATCGGCGGCGAGCCATGTGCACTTTATTTCGGTCTCTGCCAATACATTTTGATTCGCACACAAGTGCGTATGGATATGTTTGGATTTAAAGCACCATTTAGAAGCCCCACGGATGCAGATACGAAAATACCGAACGCACTTTTTGGGGAACTCATGCCGAAACGACCGAAATTTTTGATCGGTTTAATTCGGATCAAGGTTGGGATCGCTTCTGGGCTTTCAAATGGATCATGTTTAAATACCAAAATACAATTGCGTTGCAAAAGTGTAATATTTGTAAGTTTGCCAGACAAAAATTGTAAACGGCCTTTTTTTCAAAAATCGTTGCAAGATATTAACAAACTTAAAAAGTTCCTTTAGATATTGAAAATATAAAAATCCATTCAAATTGACTTAAATTTGAAAATATTAAAGATCATAGTTACTAAATCACCGCTCTTCAAGTACAAAGTTTACAGCTTTTATTTCGTATATTATTTAAATAATATTATTTGCAAATGGCACACATATGTTCGTGAACTTCGTTAAGTACAAACGTCTTTTCGCTGATCATTACAAAAGGTTTGTTGTGTGCTGTGAATCATGTTTGAAGAAATGCACAAAGTACATTTAATACTTTTCGTTATGTTGTCTGCCAGCTCAACCGGCGGAGGTGGTCCTCTCACATGGATGGTAAATAAATATCGCCTTAACGCATACGTAATAGAAAAATGTACAAAATTATAATCAATTCGTCGATCAAACACATAGAACATATAGGACTAACTAGAGGACGTTTTAAAAACTACAAAGCGGATGTTAGCGGAAGGCACGGTATACACAGAGTTGACTTGCCCAGCTGGACAAATGGGTCACAAGTAGAAAAGAGGGCTGATGCGCCCCGTCTTATAACTAGGTTCCATAATTTACAATACAGTTGGGGAGGACAGGAGCTCCCCCCTAAACGCAATACGCCGCTGGCACCTCGAAGATGATATTGCCTTCTTTGTGATGGAAGTTGGGAATCTCTATGTTTGACGCCGCCTCCACCGAAATTGTGCGGGCTTTGTCCTCCAGGCGGCAGGCAATATTATTGCTCACATTCACACGCAACTCGGTTCCGGTGAGGCTGGAAGAAGAGATTTATATTAAAAACTGGGTTAAAGACTCTATGGGTTTCCCAACTCACTCATGGTACTTCTTGCAGACAATGCCCACGAGCTCGCCAATGCGATCCTCCTTGAGGGGCGTGTGCTCTCCCTGCAGGGAAAAGACCAAATCCTTGTTCTTGGGCGAGTGGAAGACGATCAGTTGATCCCGGCCAGGAGTGACGCTAATGGAAGTCAACTGTAAGGAAAGACAATGGGATTGAGAGAGGTGATTTGATGATGCTTTCTTGTTAAGTTTATAAACTGATCGGCTTCGATCACTTATCCCAGACGATACCTTCTTAAAAACTTTGTATGTGTTGCGATACAATAGGATTAGATATGGTCATTATAGATACAACTTTAGAAGAACAATTAGGGTATTCAATTGCGTTGCAAAAGTGTAAAATTTGTAAGTTTGCCAGACAAAAATTGTGAACGGCCTTTTTTTCAAAAATCGTTGCAAGATATTGACGTACAAGAAAAGGCTAACTTATTTTGTTTGGTATAGCTTGATGATTTTTGAGGAAAAATAATTGCTAGGGAGGCTTTGCCTAAAATAAAATTGACATTTAATATAAAAATTGCCACTTTTTCTACTTTCAATGAGAAATCTGCGACTTCTTAGGCGTTAAATGGCTGAGGACGGACACTAAAGTAAATTACTTGTATTGTAGTCATTCTTTAATTTGTTTAAACCGCGAGTTCCTCGGCGTATTGAGTGTCCAACTTCTTGGTCAAAAATGTCAGTTCCTTACTGTCTTATCTAAGCCGTCCATTAAATATCAAAAAAAAATAGAAAACCGCGAATTATTTGGCATATATAATCATTGTTTACCAATGGCATTTACCAAATAAAACTACATTGGTCGCCAAAAGTAGATCAACAAAATCTATACGCGAATTCTTAAGCCTCAATCGGCTTTTCGGTTGCCATCACCATAGACTCAAACCCAACTTTTTAGTATTTTTGTAGTATTTAAAACCTCTATTTTAAACCATTATTTCTACACAAGTAAAACGGAGTTTTATACGTACTATGTTTAAATGATTCTTTTCACTCACCTCCCTAATTCCAATGCTACGCTTCATGTCCTTGAACTTCTTCTTGATGCCCTCCAGCTTGTAGATGGTCGAATCGGTGACGATGAAGGCGCGATCGGACTGCTTGTTGTGATGGTTGAACTTCTTGGCGAATGCGGAGAAGAGCACCTGGCGGAAGGACTCCGCGCCGGCGACTCCTGCCAGGTGGTTCCTTATGTTCCGCACGCTGGCGTTGTAGGCGTCGTAGAAGCTGTTGTCCGTCGAGTTGGCCAGGTAGTCGCCCACCCAGCGGCGCGCCTGACCCCAGTAGGGTCGTCTTCCGGCCAGAGCGGTGGCGGCGATGATCTGCAGGCGCAACTGGGGCCACTCGCTGCGCGGATACTTGCGCAGGATCATGCAGGCCCGCCAGTTGTCGAAGATCCTGTGCAGCTTGGCCTCCGCCTTTCGTCCTGCGAGCGGCGGCTGCGGCCACTGGATGCTTTTACCGTAGTCGCGCGTCTGCTTGGCGTTCCGGAAGCGGTTGGCCAGCTCCTGGACGTAGCTGCGTAGCTTGTAGGTCTTGTAGGCTCGCATGATCGCAATGGCCGCCTTCATCTTCTTGAAGTTCCTGCGCACAATCCATCCGCGCACCTGCTTCTGCAGCAGGGTCACGATGTGCGGGATCATCTCGTTCCGCTGCTGCTCCAGGGCGAACAGGGTGCGCGGCGAGCGGATGAAGATCTTGGTGTGGCCGTACTTCACGTCCTGCGCAAAGCCCTTCTCCTCGATCAGCACCCGGACGCCGTCGCGATCGCTTCCGGCCCGGAAATTGGGCCACGTGTACTGCGAGATCATCTTGTAGCGCAGCAGGAACTTGTCGTAGCGCTGGCGATGCACGAATCCGGCTCGACGGACCCGCAGGTTCTCGAGGAGGCCGAGGTAGCGCACCTGGTGCTCCACCCGCTCCTCGTCGAACACCGTGGAGCTCTTGATGTCGTTGGGCTTGATGCAGCGCACATAGAAGGGCTCCTTCTTCAGCAGAGTCACCACCAGGTCGGCCATGGATCTCTGGAACAGGGTGCCGGCTGTCAGAGGCCGCTTGGTGGTCTTCTTGATGTCCTGCGCTCCCTCGGGCCACATCTCACTCAGGTTGGCGTCCTTGGAGTTGTGCAGCAGGCGCTTAAAGTCCTGGTACAGCGTGTCCTTGTTCTTCTCGATGAATCCGTTGATGTTGTAGATAACGTCGCCGGCGTAGTGGGTGATGCGGAAGTCCTCGCGATGCTTCAGCTCCTTGTCCGTGGGCTTCAGCTGGCGACTCGTGTAGTGGGGGTGCTTGCTCAGGTTCTTGTCCATGGCCCCCAGCAGCGTGTCGTCCGTCACCTTGCCCACACTGAGGCAGGCCTCGTCCATGATGGCGATGATGCCCTTGTGCGGTTGCTCCACAAGATCGCAAATGATCTGGAATTCAGGGGTTAATCAGTATGTCCATATTATTAGCTTAATGAAACTCACCTTGTTGTTGAAGTAGTCAATATTTGTCCACTCGATGCCCTCTCGCTGGTACTCCTCCTGCTCTTGCTTCAGCACCAGTTCTGCAAGGGATTATCCAGGTGGTTAAAAGATCCTACCTATTCAACATCCAATTGTCTCACCTATGAACAACTGCTGCAGCTTCTCGTTGCAGTAGTTGATGCAGAACTGCTCAAAGCTGTTCGAGTCGAAGATCTCGAAGCCGTAGATGTCCAGCACTCCGATGACCGAGTTGAACCTCGCCTGCGTCTTGCTGCCCCGGAAGAGGATCGCCCGGTTGATGCGGGAGATGATCCAGGTGAAGAGGCGGTCGTAGATGGCCTTGGCCAGCGCATCCTTTCCGTACTCCGCCTGAGTGGCGTTGTGATCCTTCTGCATCACATTTCCGCCGGCGGCGATGACCCTCTTGGTCAGTGCCGTGGAAAGCTCGGACTCGGTGACATTCAGCAGCTTGGCGGTGGACTTCAAGTGCTGCTTGTTGCTGATTACCAGTTCATCCTCAATAGCTGCAATTTAAAACACACAAAATAATTAATTAATTAATTCTTGGGGGGAGAATAATCCTCTCTAGAACTCACTTTGGAACTCCACATTTCCCAGGTGCAGAACGGCCGCAATTGTCCGCCAAATGGTCTGCACCTCGTCCGCGGAGAATCCCAGGGTCTTGAAGGCGTTGCAGGTGCCCTTGTAGTCGGACTTCTCCGTCAGGATGTCCATGCTGCCCTGGTTCAGGTAGTGGTACTTGCCCGTCTCCTTCTGCAGCTCATATTGCCGCAGTTCGTTGTCGTTGGCACCGCGGAGTAGCTAGAATGGATGAGTCGGTTGGGTTGGGGGTTTTAATTAAGCGATTCTAAAACTATTCTAAATTAATTCAGACGGGTGTGTGCCACATGTCCGTATCCATGTCCCAAGAATTTAGCACAGCAGACAATTAGCAGACGTGTTAACTATATTGGAACTTCCGTTTCCTATTATGTATTTGGAATTCTAATTTTCTATATTTTCTATTCTATAATAGACCTGTACGAGTAAGTAAAAATATTCAAGAGTTGTACTTGGTTTTACTCCTTACTTACTCCATAAAACAATACTTTAAATCGTCGTCAAAATATGACCGCGAGTTCTTTAGAACAAGATAACAAATTTTTAATTTTTTTATTATAATCAATTAGATTATTATAATAACACCTCTATTAAAATGAATGAACTCATCATATATTTTTGTCGATTGTATCATCAAAGATAAATGCATTGATAACACAAGTTATCAGTGGAGTAAATTGGGTCCTCACAACTTTTATAGATCTTCAGCGTTGGGAAAGGCATAAACTAAATATCAATAAAAATCTACATGCTTATCAGCGCTTTTACAGGTGTGAGTAAGGCTGAGTATTGTTTATTTTTAAAGAATTACAAACAGCGAAAAAGTACCCTTGGTAGTCATAAATTATATCTTGGCCAAGCTGGGAATTTATGACCGATGCAGACGAGGTGCTAAAGCATTTGGTATCGTCGTTCTTAAAGCAAGCATTCCATAATACGGCCCAATATTTATTTTGACTCAATTCGAAAATAAACAACTCGCTAGTTTCCGATAAACCCGAATAGGAAAATGTCGAACTCTAACAAAAACCAGATCAAATATTCGTCTTGA